CCTGTCCCCCCTGGGTAACTCAGATCACGGTGTTGTGGAGGCTAGGTTTCGGTCAGAAGCCGCTGTGGCCGCAGAAACTCGCACAGGCCGCAAAACTTGGCATTACGGACATGCCGACTGGGAGGGGCTCAGAGACTTCTTCTCTAGCTTTCCTTGGAGAGATGTCTGTTTCACTGACGCGGATGCGTCGACTGTCTGTTCTTCAATAACCGAAATTATCCACGTCGGAATGGAGGAATACATCCCTCACACAGTGAAAGTTCCTAAACCAGGGTCCAACGGCTGGTTCAACAAATCGTGTGACACTGCTCGCCAGCAGGAGCAGAAGATCAAGGCCCACAGAACCTACTTACAAAACCCCACTGTAGAGAACAGACAAGCCGACGTCGAGTCCAGAAACAAATATAACGAAGCGGTTCGCAATGCCAAAACCCAGCATGATATAAAAGTTAGGCACAGGGTAATGTCGCAGCGCAATGGCAGTCGGTCTTTCTGGACGCTGGCCAAGCAGATTGAAAAGAACTTCTCACACAGTAGCCTTCCACCACTTACGTGTCAGGATGGAACTATTGTATTCGACTCAAAGGCCAAGGCGGAAGTGCTAGCCAAGATCTTTGCTGCCAACTCCACCATGGACGTCCCCACCAACGCCCAAGTGCCGTCAATTCAAAGGGTTCCCCACACTATGCGGGAGGTAACATTCAGGCATAAGACCGTAAGACGAGTGCTCTTGTCGCTCGACATCAACAAAGCTTCTGGTCCGGACTTGATTCCTGCCATTGTACTGAAGAGATGTGCAGCTGAGCTTGCTCCAGTTCTTTCGCGTCTCTTCCAGATATCTTACGAATCCGGCACCTTCCCAGAAAACTGGAAATTTGCTCATGTACAGCCCATCCCAAAAAAAGGATCTAAAACCGACCCTTACAACTACAGGCCTATAGCTCTGCTCTCTGTTATAAGTAAAGTGATGGAGAGGTGCATAAATCGCGAGCTTCTGGATTACCTCGAACGTCACAGCTTGATTAGCGACAGGCAGTACGGTTTCCGGCACCAACGATCCACAGGGGACCTCCTAGCTTACGTCACGCAACTGTGGAGTAAACTCATCCAGTCTCATGGTGAGGCTCATGTCGTTGCTCTTGACATCACGAAAGCGTTCGATCAGCTGTGGCACGCTGCCCTCTTGAGCAAACTTCCATCCTACGGCCTCCCAGAAAAGCTTTGCAGATGGGTGGCTGACTTTATCTCTGGCCGCAAGATATCCGTCGTAATTGACGGATTCTCCTCTTCATCCCACAACGTCAACGCGGGTGTTCCCCAGGGATCGGTCTTGGCTCCAACACTGTTTCTCTTACATATCAACGACCTCCTTTCCTGCACGATCAACCCAATCCACAGCTTCGCTGATGACAGCACTCTACATGCAGGAATTCAGAGTGACAAGCCGATCTCTGCCGCTGAGCTGGAAAAAAGAAGACTAGCGACGACTTCTTCTCTGACAAGAGACCTGGAGGCTATCACTGCTTGGGGACGCAACAATCTTGTACAGTTCAATGCTTCCAAAACACAGTACTGTACTTTGACGAACAAAAAGCGTCCTAGCGCTCATACAGTTTCGATGGACGGTCGAGTTCTACCAAAGAGCTAGGCTATTTGTTTAGGGCTAAGAAGTACTTTTCTCCGCATGACCTTCTCACTCTATACAAGGCCCAGATAAGGCCTAGCCTCGAGTATTGCTCACACATTTGGGGTGCTGCCGCCCCGACTACATTGTCCATGCTCGATGCTGTCCAGAGGAGGGCGGTCCGACTGATCGATGACTCTTCTCTAACAGACAGTCTCGGGACTCTTTCGCACCGGCGGGCCGTCGGCGATCTAGCTCTTTTCTATCGCTACACCAACGGGCTTTGCTCCTCAGAGCTCTCTTCCATGATGCCGCCGCGCGATGTGCCTGCCAGACAAACCCGCCTGACTTCGGCGTCCCATCCTAACCGTGTCAAACTTCGTACATCCAGAACTGGCCGATACGACCGCTCCTTTGTCCCGAGGGTGTCTAAATTGTGGAACAAACTACGGGAGGAAGCTTTTCCCAGTTCTACTAACCTTAAGCAGTTCAAAAATCGTATTAACAAAATTTCTTTGGGATCATCATAGCAGCCGCGGTGTTCCGGCATTTAGGCTTCTGCCTGCGCGGCTGTTTCGATATAAAAAAAAAAAAAATGAAATTTTCTTTTAAAATTTTATCTTTAGTATCCAGAAATTCTAAAATAGTCTCAAAAAGTGCAAAAAATCTTTCAAACATAAGCCTTTCGACAACCAGCGTACTTCAGTGTGAAGGAGTAATTGATGAAAGTGTTCGTCATTTTCTTCACACAACTGCGCAAATAACCGCGTATTCAACGCGTTGCTTCGGATTCGGTTTACTGCATCAATGACTAAATGAAGTGATTCATGCAATCTAACACTCAAATTTTTAGCAACTAAATGTTGTCGATGGATGACGCAATGTATTGCTAACACCCCTGACACATTTTGTTTTAAATAGCTTATAAATCCACGATAACGTCCAACCATGGCAGGTGCTCCATCTGTAGCTACTGATATTATATTTGATAAAGGAATTGCTTTTTCAATGAAGTAATCCTTCAAAACATGAAATATTGATTCACCTTTAGTGTCGGTTATCAAAGTTCTTGCGAAGAGCAGTTCTTCGTAGATTTCTTGCTTCATAATAAAACGAACATATGCCAATAATAATGCTGCATTATCAGGTAAAGTTGACTCGTCCAGTTGTATAGAGAAATGTGTCGTTTGCAAATAATTACATAAGAAGCTTTCAATATCAGAACTCATTTCATCAATACGTCTTTCAACAGTATTGTTACTTAAGGGAATTCTTTTAATGATATCAGATGCAGGTTTGTGTAAAAGAGTTTTTAAAACCTCTTCAACGGCTGGCAAAATTAACTTATCTCCGATAGTATGCGGTTTTCCGGATTTTGCTATAAGTAACGAAATATTGTAAGACGCCCGCAAACCATCATCATTCCTTCGAAGCGAACATTCTGTCCAGTGCAGGTCTCTTCTGAAATTTATCTTTGAGAGTTTCAAAGTATTTCAAATCTTTCTCTGTTTTATCAGGGTGGCATCTTCTCAGATGATCTTGCAGTTTAGATGGTTTCATAGCGTCATTGCCCAAAACATTGTTGCATAAAAGGCACATAGGCGATTGTTTGTTCGGAAATGATGGAATGAAGCCAAATTTCAAATAATCAACACTGTACTGTCTACATTTCTTTTTAGATTCGGACATGGCATCAGTCATCTGTGGGCAAAATTAAATTATTTAAATAAGACAGAAAATCCAGCAGCTGTATATTAAAAATATTTTTTGATTTTTCCGAAAACATTCCATAATTCGAATATCTTCTTGCAACAATTAGCTCGAATTACGGAGATTGCACTGTAATTATATTACCGATTGCTAAAACTTTCAAAAAGAAACTATTGAGGAGTACTCGTGTAATTTTGCATGATTGAATATTTAACTACTAATAACTAAAGTCATGATTGGCGTAATTTCTCTATCTTTGTTAACTACGAGTACAAAACTAAAATTTAATAAAAAATAATGTACTTACTTTTCTCCAGCACTCTCAAACAAAATAACAATGACTCACTATAATTTGTGTGATATACTATCTGTTTATATTTTTTAAAATATTTTCTTAGCACTTTTCTTTTCAAGATTCAGGAAACGAATAAACGTATTTGTCCCACATTCGTATTTATAGAGTGACGAATTGAACAAGTCAGTGCAAGGTAGCGAAGCTCTGAGACTGCGACTCTCAGGTTTTTACAAGTTCAAAATGTATTGCGACCACAAAGCGAATACCAACATCCTACAACTTACACAATTTTATAAACATATATAATATATAATACATTTTTTACTTCATAGGTACTTTTATAAATAATGTATATGTTTTGATATAAGATAGTATGATGTAAGTAAATAGGTACTATCAGTGTATGTGTTGAGATCCACTATCGTGGACCCCCATATTCATTTCATGGACCTCCAAATTTTTTTTCGCTGACGTAAACCCCTTGCAGGTTGTCATAAACCCCTAGGGGTCGATATAGACCACTTTGGGAATCAATGGTCTAGGTGCACCTTCAATTTGGGAAACGCTATGTAAGGGCTGTAACGGGGATGAGCAATGACTTCGCAGCCAAATCGCTCGATTAAGCCCTTCGTTTGTTGTGAGACATGACGATTTTGGATTGCCCGTCTCAGCTTTTTCGGAAGCCTCGGGAATTCGGCGATCTTCGATCAAGATTTGCTCAGTCTTGGCCATAACTTCCTCGGAGATCGACGATGAAAGGCTCCATTGCGCATGGCTCTCGGGCCGGTACTGAGCATCGCAAATAGGCGCTTCTTGTTGGGATCGGTGGTGGGGGAGCCGACACACGACGCTGTTGCTAGACTTGGCCTAGCATCACGCGCAACAAAGATACAGCGTTGGGAACCTTATTTTTGAGACAACCCTCGTAATTGACTCGGATGCCTGCAACTTTGCATCATTTTTTTTTGTTGAATGCCGAAGATATCACGATTCTTCGTCTAAATTGGGACACCCTGTATAATGGCTAATATTTTAGAAAATATATATATATTTATTTAGCTAAGCTGTCGCTGTTTCCGTGTTTAATCATTTATGTTGAAACCTCCGGACCATGGCTCGTTTTGTTTGTCTATGAAAAGTGCCATGATAGGTCCCTTAGCAAGAAGAGTATCCCAGTCATTCCCTTTAGTCCCCTCGTCTTGTATTTTCCAATTCGTTGTGTATACGTAAATTAGGTATTTATTATGTCCCAATGCCAATAAATAAATAAATGAATTTAGTACTGTTTTCTGGATACGCCAGTGAGCAGAAACCTTTATACTGAACGTGTGATCACAGAAATAGGAGTCCATATCAACAAAAAAACTCGCAGATAAGAAAACAAAATTTTACTAACAAGAAAAATTTTGGAATATACATATAGATATACGTAAAGCAACTTAAATATTTCAACATTCAAAGGCGAAATTCCACTATTCATTGGCGACGTGTATATTTGCCTCTTCTTATCTCGAATTATAAATTAGTTAACCCCTTAAGCAAGGTTTAAACGACGCATCTCCTTCAGCAACTCGGTACCCATCTGAGCGGGAGACTTCGTTACAATAACACCAGCCTTTTCGAGGGCATTTATCTTATCCTGAGCCCCTCCTTTACCTCCTGATATGATAGCACCAGCATGACCCATACGACGTCCTGGAGGAGCTGACAGACCAGCGATGAATGAAACTACTGGCTTTTTGTTAGGACCCTGTAACAAAAAAATAAAATAAAAATACGTGGCGGACTATCTTTTTTGAGATTTTCCAAGATCTTTTTAGTATTCCTAGGTTCTTTTAAGATTATTTCCGATTATTTAAAATACTCTAGGATTATATTTAAAAATTAGTATTCCTTATATTTTTTAACTATTCTTTAGGATCCCTTTAAGATCTTTTAGGATTCCTCAGGATTCTTCGGGATGTTAGGATTCTTACAGATTATTCAAGATCCCTTAGGGTTCAATCTAATTATTTAGGACATTTTTGAGATCTTTAGGAATTCTTTAGGATTCCTTAGAATCGGTCGGGATCTGTGATTATGTTTTAGGTATCTTTAGGACTCCCTAGTGCCCTATAAGATTCTCTAAGATACTTTATTATTATTTCAGATCCTTCAGAATGTATTAGTATTTCTCTGGATTCTTTAGGAACCTTTAGGATCATTATAGGAAATTTTAGGTTCTTTAGGACCGCTTAGGATTTTGTAGGAGTCTTTAGGATTTTGAGGATGTCTAGAATTCTTTGGGATTTTTTAGGACTCAATCAGATTATTCAAAATCCTGTACAGTTCAATCGAAATGTTTACGATTTTTTAGGATCCTTAGGGATTCTTTTGGATTTTTAGAATTCCTTAGAATCCGTTAGGGTCTCTTATTATGCTTTTGGTATGTTTAGGATTCTCTAGAATCCTGTAAGACTTTAAGATCCTTTATCTTTCGGATCCTCTAGGATGTATTAGTATTTTTCAGGATTCTTTAGGATACTCTAGAATCTTTATAGGATATTTTAGGATTCCTTAGGACTTTTCAGGATTCTCTAAGATTCTTTGGTATTTGTTAGGATTCTTTATTATTATTTAGGTTCTTTGGGATACCTTAGGGTTGTCTAGGATTCTTTGAGATTTTTTAGGATTCTTTCGGAGTATACAAAATCCCTTAGCGTTCAACTGATTTTTTTTAGAATTCCTTAGGATGCGTCAAGATCTCCGATTATGCTTTTGGTATCTTTAGGATTCTCTAGGATCCTATAAGACCCTTTAACATTCTTAATGATACTTTATTATTGTTTAGAATCTTTGTAGGATATTTTAGGATTCCTTGGGACTTTTTAGGATATCTAGGATTCTTGGGAATTCTTCATAATTCTTTCGGGTTATTCAAAACACTTTGAGTTCGTTAGGACCCATAGGGATTCTTTCATATTTTTAGGATTCCTTAGGATTCATCGGGATCAGTGATTATGCATTTGGTATCTTTAGGATTTTCTAGGCTCCTATAATACTCTTCAGCATTCTTAATGATTATTATTCTTTCAGATATTTTAGAATGTATTTTTCAATACTCTTTAGGATAATTTAGAATCATTATAGGAAATTTTAGTATTCCATTTTCTGGACTCTTCCGGATTCCTTAGGATATTTTAGGATACTTTATGATTTTTCACAATGGCTATGAAATTTTTTAGATTCTTCAGTCTCCACTAGGATCGCTTGTGCTGCTTACGGTATTATTGAACTCTATAGGATTCTATAAGACTCTTAAGTATTTTTCAGAATACCTTAGGATTCATATGCATGCTTTACGATTCTTTAGATCATTGAAACAGATACTTTGGATTTTCTAAATTCTCTGGAAATTTAAATTTTGATACTTACGGAGTTGTGCTTCATAAGATATTCCGCAGCATTTTCTTCAGCTACACCGCCAATCTCTCCAATGAGAATAATACCTTTGGTGTCAGAGTCATTCAAAAATACCTCAAGGCAGTCGATGAAATCGGTTCCGTTGAACGGGTCTCCTCCAATACCAACACAGAGCGTCTGGCCAAGGCCTACTTGTGTAGTTTGGTGCACCGCCTCGTATGTCAGGGTTCCAGACCTGGAAACTACCCCTACGATGCCTTTCTGGTGAATATGCCCCGGCATAATACCGATCTTGCATTGCTCGGGAGCTATGATTCCAGGGCAGTTAGGACCGATAAGTCTGGACTTATTTTGCCTGATTAGTTTATGTTTGACACGCACCATGTCATGTTGAGGGATACCTTCTGTTATACAGACGATCAGGGGCACCTCGGCGTCGATGGCTTCAAGGATTGCAGCTGCAGCTCCAGGCGGAGGGACATAAATGACTGTTGCATCGCAACCAGTTGCGTCCTTTGCCTGAAACAAGGTACAAGTCAAGTAAAGTAGATCGACTTAGTGAGGTCTACAGAATATACAATACTACACATGAACGCGGCTCCCTTGGTTACGTTCAATTTATGGGCAAATTTCCAATGACCTTGAGAGCTGGGCTATCGCGAAATGGTGACACATGGCTGAGGCTCAGGGTGACCACAGAAAAAATGAGTAAAACTGTGTAAAATTGATGTTTTTGAGGGTGGATGGGGCGACTAAAATACATGATCGTTAAACGGTAACTGGTTTTTCGTGATGTTCATACCCTCATCACCTTACTTTTAGACAACAAAATCGTAAAATACAAAAGTCCACATTATCCTCGAATTTAGAGACCCGGTAATTTTTTGTTCGGTTACGCCCCCTAGCGGCCATTTTAGAAACTTGTAAATATTTTCCAGTTTTTCTCGTGGCCGTTTTAGTAACACCTTTTTTGCCGCAAGCCTCTACGATGGACAGGTTCCCAGATACAGTACCTCGCATTCTTAGTTGGCCACCCTGTACATCTCATATTACGTCAAAAAAAAAAACATCATTTTCTGATTTTTTCGCGATTACAATACTTTCCCACCAGCACGCGTGGGAAGTAAAAATGACGCACTAGTCGGTAGTTAGACTGGGTAAAGTATCCAGATGACTTGTTTGAGTATGAACAAAGATCATTCAACTTGGTCCCGAAGCGCTATCTGCGCCGTACTGGTTTCAGCATGAAAACATTTGACATTTTTATGTTATATCCTGCAAAATGGTGGAGTCAACTGGACTGACTCAGTAGTCCACTCAAGGTTCAACGCGTCATTAAGCCAACGGGAAAATGTAAGAAATGCTTGGTCTCACATTTCTGAGCATTTAAGGCGCCTTGAAGTAACCAGAAAGCTCGGAAATTTCGATAAAGGGAGTTTACGCAGATCCGAGATATTCGCTAAAATCTCCGCAGTCGCAGGACATATTTTCACAACCTACAAAGTACTAACATGACATGATAATACTCGTGTTTCACGAAAATATGAACAATGTACCTTCTGAGTTATAGAAGATAAGGAGAATGTCAGAAGCAACATTAATTAGCTCACTTAATGCATTATGATCTTTAATTTTCGATTCAGGGACAATTTAATGTCTTTGTGGAAACGTCCCAAAAAAAAAACGAGAAAGTACAAAATATTACAAAAAATGAGCACCCTAAAATATGAGTAATGATGGGAGAAATGAACCTGCTGAGGCTGTATTGTTGTCTGCGGAGAACATGTTTAAATAGTCTGTCCTCCTTGGCCTTATGTGCATCAAAGTTTAACTTAGTAATGTAAAAAATAAGAAAATGTAATACTGAGAAATGGCTGTTGAATAGCAGCTTAAAAAAATAAAGTTTTGACATTCATAAAGCTGTTGACTAAGAAAAGTAAAATCTATGTGTTTAAGCAGAGCAATGATTCTCAGAATGTAAATTTAAGTGTAAACTACTGATTTGGATCTAGAGTGTAAAAAATTCAATATGCTAATCAAAAACATTAAACAGATTAATAGCTAGCAATTATTTCATGCATTTGTTGAATGAATTTCATGTTTCATAGTAGAATTACATCAGAAGTAATCAGATAGACAATCAAGTCAATTAAATAACAGTACTTATTGCCTAAATAATTATCTAAGGTCAAGTAGATAATTAGTAGTTACATGAATGTGTTATTTAATACATTTTTACAGATAATAGGAAAAGTACTTTACACACCTATGCTTAAAAAAGGTTTTTAATTGTATTTCATTTTCAAAAAGTAAAATATGGAAATAGTTAAAAAAATGTGTGAATATGGGAAAATAAAATTGAAAGTGTATTTTTTTCAGATTATAGTGCAATTTAAAATCAAGGTCATCTAGTATTTTGTGATTCAGTGACTCTTTTCATTAAGAATGAAATGTGGAATTTTAACCAAAACTGCTCAGAATGCCCAATAACACAAAACTGCAGCACAATATAACTTCTGTTGCTTATATTGTAGGAATTGGTTATTAAAAACTCTCACACACTCCTGTGGATAGTTAATCTACAATTGAAACCTTTAGACAATCCTAGAAATAACTAAGCTACACTAAAAATTCATTTAAATTTTCAATACAATCATTCATTGACAGGTTTCTATCATGCTGCAAATGAAATTTGATGAGAAATTGGCAATGAAATGATACAAATTCCTGATGAGGCATATAAACTCTGCGATCACAAACAACTAGACTCAAGCACCAAATTACACAAAATAATAGGTTCCTATTAATCTATTTATAACTACTGGCAATGTTACTTTACATACCTCCTTAACACTATTGAAGACAGGTAGATCTAGATGTGTCTTGCCCCCTTTGCCTGGAGAAACGCCCCCAACCATTCTTGTGCCATATTCGATGGCCTGTTTACTGTGAAAAGTGCCTTGTTTTCCAGTAAATCCTTGGCAGATAACCTTACTTTGCGAGTTCAGTTTCAGATTTTTCCTAGTCGCTTCATAACTGTTGAAACGGATTGCGTTGGCAACTTTCAAACCATCTGAAAGGAATTTTAAACATGTTTTTATTTGATGTCACCAAAGTGGTTGTACTTTGTCCAAAGGTCATTTATGTACTTGAAATATTGTACTATGGCAAAATTAGCTAAAATATGTGTGAAATGGTTTCAATTGTTCAAGGTCTCAGAAAGATATTCTATTTTAAACCATGTTTTTTTAAATATATTATATAAGTTAACTTACCGAACAATCTTGTGAGTATTCTTGACGGGATAGCCATGTTTTAGGATGCAGGGATCAAAGTATATCTATTTCCTTGGATGGTTAATAGGATAAAAATGTAATCATTTATTTGGATTTGATATAAAGTGGGCAAATCCCGATCTACTCTTCGACCTCAACACACACGGGCACGATTCATGTCAGATCCACAGGGAATGCAACTGATAGAAATAAAGATTCGGGAGGTCAAGATCGCAATCGACGTTCACAGATGGCAACACTGGAACTTCTCTAGCGCCATCTATTCGCGACATCGAACTACAAATAGACTTTGTACCTCACCAAAGCCATAGAGAAAAATAACTGCTATTTTGCCCCAGCAATTTCCTTAGCTCCTCAAGATTTCCCCCATCATTATAAACAGGAATATACAATGTGAAATTTGTTACACCTTTTTCACGTAATGTAAACTACGCTACTGACCTACAAATTGAAGTAGTTACCTATAAGAGGCAATGTCTCATGATTAAATTACAATTTGCTGAGCTAAACTTTTCACACATAGATGGCAGCATATTAAATCCACACTCGTTGTCAAGTCTCTGATTTTATCAGAAAGTCTGTTACTTTAATAGCCTGGAACCACACGTATACTATTGTATTTTTACAAGAATTAAATTGATATATATATATATAAATCCTAACATTTTTCATATTTATAAATATTATTATCAAGAACATCCAATTGACGGATACCATCGACGTTCCGCTCCCGTCTCTAATGTTTTATTTGTAATGTCCAAAAGTTTTTTGACAGTTAAATCTTGTTACTGGTCAACGTGGACGTACTGTTCAGTTTTTTCCGGTTTGAATTATATAAACATGTAATGAAATTTTGAGTTACGAGAGCTGAGAGTAGTTGACAGCGACACATTGAATATTTGCCTTCAATGATTCTCTTGCCGATCATGTATATTCAATTATAATCTTTCCATTTATTCAGGCAGAGAAATATACGCAGATCTCCTACAAAATAGATACTTTGGCAACGCCTGTCTGTGATGCGCCATGAATCGGTGAATAGTTCAACTATTAAATTTGGACGATTTGTGATACCTACTTTTTAGATAGTGTTGTTATTACAGGTAACTACTTGAATCTACCGTTGAGGGGCGTAGATTTTTCATTTTGTAAAAGGGGTTTTAGATTACTTCCAACGTGTCAAGTTTTGTTATGATTTTGTTTAGTGTAGGTTAGAAAATTGAAAAGTGGAAGAATTAAATGAATAGCAAATATTTTCCTTACAAATTCAATGATTTCATTGGTCGTAGGGAATTTATCTTTAATGATTGATAGATTGATTGGCTCACTCACATATACTGAAAACACTAATCGGACTTCCTCTACAAAATGTTGACGTTGCTCTTGTTTATCTTCTGATTATACCTCATTTTAGAAAAATTTAAAGTGCCAATTCAAGTGTTGCATTTTGAAGTTCCTGTAGATAACTATAAGGTAAAAATTCCATATGCGCTTGTATGATGAAGCAATCCTCAAAAATAATTATCATATACATAAAGAATATTTTAATTTCACTCTCTAACAACATAATTGAAATTCCACATTCTGTGCTCTCTTGTAATCGAGAATAATCAATCAATTTGCAATTTTATTAACCATAGCAGGGAGATATTTGAAGTTATTAGGTATCTGACTACAATGTTTTATTTGATAATTTCATGATTAGCACAGCAGTTTTCTAAGAAGTATCTAAAACTATATACTATCCTTCATCATATTACTTTTCTGTAAACCTTTATCCAGAGTCATGATCAACTTTTACTACTGTATGTACAGTAATGGAGAAGACTGTATAGACAAATTAATATTGTGCTTGTATTTCTCTTTTAACTTGTTTTATTAATACACCAACCTGTATACATAATTCCTTATAGCATAATACCCACTTATACATAAATCAATTCACTAGACTCCCTTCAATAAAAAATTAATTGAAAAAACTGGAACTATGAAGGACAAAAATATATAGACAAAGCAAAACAATTATAGAAAAAAGAAGCAAAGTTTATTGAATTATAGAAAACCAACCATGTTTGTGTTAATATTTTGTAGCATAACCATTATTATCAATCACCGCCTGGCATCGTCTCGGGATAGATTGTAGAAGTTTCTTGATATAAGATTCATCAATCTGTCTCCACTTTTGCTCTAAAGCAGCAAAAAGTTTATCCTTGTTTGAATAATGTTTATCTCGTATTTGCTTATCTAAGTATTCCCATAGATTTTCAATGGGGTTTATATCGGGAGGCTGTGAAGGCCATTTGACAACTGGTTTTTTTTTATCCAGAAAGAATTTCGTTGCGAGATTTGAAGTGTGCTTCGGATTATTATCTTGCTGGAAGATTGATCTTAAGGGCATATTGCCTTCATATAGGGTAACATGACATGCTTTAGTATGTCTGTGTATACAAACTTATCCATAATGCCGTCTATTCTATGTAAAGGTCCCATCCCAAACCCTGAAAAGCACCCCCAAACCATAACAGACCCGTCTCCATGTTTGACAGTGAGCAAAGTGTACTTGGGGTCCACTAGGACGTCTAACGTAATGAACACCTTCTGAGCCAAACATATTGAACTTGGATTCGTCACTGAAACATACCCTCTTCCAGTCACAGGTGCTCCAATCAAGATGCACCCGCGCAAATTGTAATCGGTCCTTACGGTTTTTCCTCGAGATTAGCGGCTTCATACTAGGACGACGTGCAAATAACTTCAATTTATTTATCTTCTACTTATAGTTTTTGTAGAAACACTGACAATACCTTTTGTCTTGATTTCGGCTTTTATTTGTCTTGGGGTTTTAAACGGATCTTTGGACGAAATTACAGGGTGCGGCAGAGAGGATGGACGGTTTTAAAAAAATCATAAAATAGTTAATTTTTACACGTAAACAAATTTATTGATGGAATCAGGTTCACAAGGAAATAGCATTTGAGACAGTCAAGTGTGGAAAATCACATCAGGCATGTGGTGGCCGAAATCGTTGATGCAGTGCTGGAGGCGTTCTTGGAAGTTCGCGTAGACTCTCTCCAACATCGCTCTCTCAACTTGGGCGACTTCCACGCGAATTTCGCACTTCAATTCGTCCAGAGTTCGGGGCTTGTTCGCGTATACTCTAGCCTTGAGGTGTCCCCACTCATAATCAAAATTAGGTTCTCATTTTGATCGATCAGTGCTTCCATCTCACGTGCGAAGTTCATTCGTTGTGCATAACCTCCGGGCTGTAACTGTTGCACAATGGCCAATTTGTAGGGGTGAAAGCGGAGATCCATATGCAAAATTCGCCTCACCGAACGATCACTAAGGCGAAGTGCAGCAGCATGTTTCCGGGCAGATCGAGTCGGACTGCGAAGAAAGACCTGTCGAACGCGTTCAACATTTTCAGGAGTTCGAACTGTTCGCGGAGCTCCTCTTGGTCTTCTGTTGATCAGTTCACCACGCCTGCGAAGTGATTCAACCCAACGAAGGACGGTGTTTCGAGAGGGAACAGCTCTATTCCGATGAATGTTGAAGTGTCGACGAAACTCACGCTGTACGACGATGACTGACTCATTATTTCGAACGAAACAATCATAGGCGAAAACGCGGTGCTCCACCTCTCTCGTAGACGGAGGCGGAGAGTACTACCCATCCCAAAACCGTCCGTCCCCTCTGCCGCACCCTGTACTTTTATTAATCAAACTGATCTACCATTTAGTTTTCTAGGCCGACCACTTCTCTTAGAGGCTTCCAAGATACCGTTTTGTTTATATTGCCCAAACTGCTTTACGCTTCAGCTTCAAGTTTTTGGCAATGTCGACTTGACGTTGACCATCTTTGTATAACTCAATGATCTTAGTTTTCACATCGAAAGAAATTTCTGGACCAAGCGGCATGGTCTTAAAATCCTCTTCTGACACGAAACTGTACTAAACTAATGTTGAAAAGAATTTGTCTACATATTTTTGTCCCTCATGAAAAAGTGCTTATATTCAGACTTGTATTGTGTTCATTGCAGATGATGTAATAACAAGGAATTTAGTTTTCCTACTAATAATGCATTTGTTTATGGAGCAATAAGTATGAATTCGTTTCCTAAAGGTATTTAGGTAAATATTCATATTTGTCTATATACCTTTGTCCATTACTGTATATACGGTGACGTTTAATTTGGCTGACGTTGTAATGTGTACGCGCAATATGTATGTTATAGTGCGCAGATGGCTTCCGTGACCTCGTCAGTCGGGTTGCTAGGCAACGAGATGTTTCTATCTCTTTCTAACACACGTATTAACCATGAGAAACTACCCGTTTATCGGAGGTGTCCGTGTAAGAGAAGGATTTTCAATGTATTTAGTATTAGGATTTGGTATAGAATTTATTCTCCCAGAGGGCTCATACCTGTAGCCATTGTGTTTCTTTAGCCACTTAACAAAATATAAGCAAGGCCTTATTTGCCAGTCCAAATAGATCATTATTGTCAATATTTATAACTTCATCATAGTCAGAGGTTTCGATAACATATTTCAGGAATTTGTTTGCATCTTATATGAATTTTCCAATTTTCACAATCCAGTAGTTATATAGAACATATTGTTTTAGATTAAAAATGGAAGACAAAGGAAAAAGAGCATTAATCCTAGTTGGTGGTTATGGCACCAGACTAAGACCATTGACACTAAGTGTTCCAAAACCACTGGTTGAGTTTGCCAACAAGCCAATATTAATGCACCAAATTGAAGCACTAGTCAAAGGAGGAGTTACAGAAGTTATCCTAGCTGTGTCTTACAGAGCTGACCATATGGAAAAAGAATTAACAGAGCAAGTGAAAAAGCTGGGAGTCAACCTTATATTTTCCCATGAGACTGAACCATTAGGTAACTAAATAATTAGCATTAAGCTTTGGAGAATTCTAATTCTCCATTGGTTTATCAGAGAGTTTCCATTTTCATCTTATTTTTCAGGTACAGCAGGACCGCTTGCCTTAGCCAAAGAACACCTTATAAAGAGCACTGACCCATTCTTTGTTCTTAATTCTGACATCATTTGTGATTTTCCGTTTTCCGAATTGGCAAAATTCCATGCTTCACATGGCAAAGAAGGCACTATTGTAGTAACAAGGGTTGAAGAACCATCAAAGTATGGTGTGGTTGTCTATGATAAAAATAACTGCATACAAAGTTTTGTTGAGAAACCTCAAGAGTTCATTTCAAACAAAATCAATGCTGGCCTGTATATTCTGAATCCATCTGTTCTTAGTAGAATAGAAGTAAGTATTTGATATCACAATGGAACCATTTTCAGATATTGTTTCACAATTGATCTGTTTCTATCTTGCAGCTGAGACCAACTTCCATAGAAAAAGAAGTATTCCCATATATGGCTCAGGATCAACAACTGTATGCATTTGAATTGCAAGGCTTTTGGATGGATGTTGGTCAACCTAAAGACTTCTTGACTGGTATGTGTTTATATCTCAAGCATGTGAGATCAACTGACCCAGAAATGCTGGCCAAAGGACCTAACATTGTTGGAAATGTACTGCTGGATCCGACTGTGAAGATTGGAGAAAATTGTCAAATTGGACCAAATGTCACTATTGGCCCAGGTGTCATCATTGAAGATGGTAAGAAAAACCAAAAAAATTATAGCAAGGCCATTGAGTTCTTATAATCTATATTTTCTCATTATTATAGGTCTTTGTATGTCATAATTTCTATTTTCATTTAACTTTGCTGTAAGTGAATGAGACTTTGTATATAGCCATTCAAATTCAATTTTTTTATTTTCCTGTTCATGTTACAAACAACATATAGGAATTGTCAATAAAAACTCAAAACGACAAAATAACAGCAAAACAACAGTCAAACAGGTCACAATAAACATTTTCCACACTTGAAACATTAAAAATGCCTATAAGAGAAGAACATCATAAAAACGCTGATTGATCAGAAACCCTCACAAATTTTGTTTGAAGGACCTCACGTTTGTTTCTGACTTTACCTTCTCTGGTAGATTATTGAAAAATTTTAATCCGAAGTAATTTGGTGAGACTTGGCTGAATTTATAGTTAAAAATAGTTAAATGAAATTGACTTTTATTCTGGTATTGTGAGTGTGAATATCACTGCTTACAAAAAAGTGTGCCTATTCGAAAATACATAAGAGGCTATTTCTAGTATAAACAAAGAAGTCAGTGTCAGTACTCCAAACTTTTTGAACAGTTTTCTAGTTTTTCATTTGCTAAACTTTCTATGATGAGGTATAGTTGTAGTGACCGTTCTTGGCAGGTCAAAGTAAGACTACCAGTATCCCTTTATATACTAAGTGACATATAAATCCGAACACCCAGTTTAAATGGTTTTATTTTAATAAAATTTTGTATAAGTACTTAATGAAGCATAATAAGTAAATGATAAAAATTTCAAAATGATTGCACTGCTTTAAAGCCCTTTGACCTTTAATAATGTGTGGATGAACCCTGATGTGCTACGCATTCTCCAACGCGCCTAGGCATGCTTCTGATCAGAGGTGGTCAATGTCCTCCTGTGGTATCTCATTCCAGGCAACCACCAACTCCTCTCGAAGTGCTTCTAGAGTCTGAGGAGGACGTTGCAAATTGAGCAATCTCCTACCCATCACATCCCACACGTGCTCAATTGGGGATAAGTCGGGAGATCTTGGTGGCCATGGTAACAATGTGACATCATTATGTTGAAAGAAGTCTATTGTGACTCTTGCAACATGTGGTCGGGCATTATCTTGTTGGAAAGTTGGATCTGCCAGGGTGTCAAGATAGGGTAAAAGATCGGGTTCTAAAACTTCGTGCATATAACGCTGCGCGTTCATGTTACCTCTGATGAAGATTAAAGGTGACCTGGAACCATAAGCTATAGCACCCCAAACCATAACTCCAACAGTGTGATGAACATGTCTTTCAACAAAAAACTGTGGATTCCTCCTTTCACCACGTCGCCTTCTAACCCTGGCACGACCATCGTGCATGCCTAAACAAAATCGAGACTCGTCACTAAAGACAATACTGTTCCATTCCTGATCCCAGAGTGACCGTTGTCTGCACCACTCAAGGCGATTACGTCGGTGTTCTCGAGTTAAAGGGAGGACCCAGTGTGGCCGGTATGAAAACAAGCCAAAACTTCTCATTCGTCGGTAAACACTTCGTATGCCAATAGGTCTTCCGTGTTCTGCAAACCATTCATTTGCAATGGACCTGGTAGTGGAGAAACGGTCCCTTAAGGCCAATAATCTTAGGCGGCGATATTCACGGTCTGCTGCTCTACGGCGGCGTCCAGTGCCCCTTGCTCTTTGTGTACGGCCTTCTTGAAGCCATGCCTGACAACACCTAACCACAGTGTCTACACTTCTTTGCACTCTAACTGCAATTGCCCGAAAAGAAAGTCCAGCTTCCCGAAGTCCCACTATACGGCCCCTATCAAACTCACTAAGTTGACGAAATCGTACAGGTCTCCGTACTCTAGGCATCGTAACCGATCGTAAAGGATGTCAAGAACCAAAATCCGCCAACGTTGATTCTTTACTGCGGCTGAAATATTCATTTTTAGAGCGTTAGTGAATTAAAAAAAAGCAGTATAAAAACCGGAATGTCCAACTGATAAGGCTGAAAATTTTTTCACTTGTTATTTACAGTAAGATAAATACATTCACCAACTTTTATTAAAATAAAACCATTTAAACTGGGTGTTCGGATTTATATGTCACTTAGTATATATCTCCATCTCCCTCATACGTACACATGCAACCTACCCCTGTGTGTGAACGTTTGTTCGGTAAGCTCGAAGACATATGTACGTTTTTTCGTTGTCTGTCTCCGTCTCGAAAACTTTGTCGTTACGTATGAGTGCCCTGAAATCATATTTTTCAGAGTGACAACTTACTTGACATTGGCGAAAAATTCCAGTTGTTCTGTTACCAATCTTCAATATAAGATTTACAATGTCGTCGTGCTAAATTTATTAGAATATTTCTAGGAAGAGAATGAAACCACTTCATGCGTACTAGAGAGAGTAGCAAATGCGCTGAAGATCAGTCTGCGCTGTGTTGATGACGTAACGACCAAGAAAGGTGACTACAATTATACAAACATTTCATTTGCGAGGGACGAGCTACCTCATAAGCAAATGCCATATAAATCAGGACAGCTTAAAACAATTCTTAAAGTTCTAACTGAACTGAACTATTGAAATTTATACTAAGTGGATCTAACTTGCCTTGGTAATTGTGGAATCTGAGTACTTCTGTTTTCTCGGTATTAAGAAACAGGTTATGTGTGTTCAAAGAGTTTATCAGTTTCGTCAAAGACCCTATGCATTTTTCTTGCAGCATCCTCTTTGGATGAAATAAGCAATGTCATCCGCATAGGCTGTATATTTAATGGTGGGAAAAACATCCTCGATCTGATTGACATATATGGGTCTCTCATTATAGCACCCTGCGGCACACCCTTCTGAGTTGGCATGACTCTAGAGTTGATTTTAGAATACATGCCATCAGATTCAAAATTAATAGATACATTGTCTCCGATTCTCAAAGAAAGTTATCCATTTTTGAGCAAATTCTCTTGTATCAGAATAGGGAGATCCTTCACAAAAGGAATAAAAATCAATGGCCCCAGTACTGATCCCTATGCGATGTCCAAAGATAAATGAAATGTGTTAGATTCTGTATTTTTACCTTTAGATATGGATTTTCAAAGTAGTAACCCTCTCATGAAGTTTGCTCAAGGTTATTGCTGTCAAATGCTTTTGCTAAATCAAACATGTTACTACATATTGATTGTTGTCGAAATTGAATTATTATTTCCAGGTGTCCGCATTAAGAGATCGACGATACTGAAAGATGCAACCATCAAATCGAACTCATGGTTGGAAAGTTGTATAGTAGGATGGAGGTGTTGTGTGGGTAAATGGGTCAGAATGGAAGGTACTACAGTTCTAGGTGAAGATGTTATAGTCAAAGATGAAATGTACATAAATGGCGGACAGGTTTTGCCGCACAAAAGTATAGCTTCTTCCGTACCAGAGCCACAGATTATAATGTAGTTTATTTTGGTTAAAATTCGTGCAATAATTCTGAAGATTCGCTAAACACAATTATAAGAAAAGTGTGAAGAAAACTATGGGAACGCCAGTCAGTGGCGATATCCTAATCTCTATTAAAGGTAACCGCCATATAGAGGCCTTTTTAGCCCTTTTAGCTTGGACATATAAATATATTAGTTTGATAATATGTGTTGGATATATGTTATTATACAGTACATTTCTAAAAGTCCTCCCTACTTATGAATTATTTTAATCTAAACAAAATCAAATTGAATACATTCCTGTATCAAATGATGATTCCTTATAAAAAGGAATCGATTTTTTATAAATAATTTTTATTAAAATAAATTTTACTTTAACGAATATGGTTTTATTTGTCTCTAACAAATGTAAACAGCTGACCTGAATTATTTTTGAATATATTTGATCTGAAACAGTGACCTTTAAATATCGATAGGATTGTTGGTATACTGATATCCTGAGCAAAATACCGCGACTTAAACAAAAAATTACTCTTCAATAAGCACTAGAGTTACTAAATGTCTATCTGTCCATTAATTTTTAATATCTTTAATATAGATGATGTTACATTCTCTAGAATTGTATTACGATTAATGTAGTAAATAAATGAAAATCTTTGAATTGTTTTGGGTTCTCACAAAATACATTTTCCTAGTTAAAACGGCTCAAAATGATCCCCCACAAAGCTTCGAAAACATGAATCGTGAGGATACTCGTATTAATGTTTCTCCCTCTATATAAATTCGAGTAATTATGAGCTCGAAACAGGAACACGGTTTCCTATGCGATCCCAGCACCACCCCGATTCAGGCACACTCACTTTTTCCGGCCCAAGTAGCGGCACATGGACTGGATGCTCCTACAACCTGTGTTCCTGTCGGACGCAAACACGACCCCCACTAATTTTGCCCTTTAAAGTTCGCATAAGAAAGGTATACGGATGAATATATTTTTTGTTTGGCTACTCTCCAATAGATGGCGCTGCATATCGGTAGACACCACAAAGTCCACCATTTTGAATGACTACCTTCGGCTGCTGAAATCCTTTTAGTGAGCTCCAATGCGTGCAAGTAGGAGGTTGCTTTGTTTTTCAACAAAGCTAAATCAATACGTAAGACATAATAAGCTAATCCAAACAATAATCTTTTCATCAAAAAATGGGGGGAAGAAAGGTATACCGATGAATATATTTTTTGTTTGGCTACTCTCCAATAGATGGCGCTGCATATCGGTAGCTACCACAAGGTCCACCGTTTTGAATGACTACCTTGAGCTGTTGAAATCCGTTCAGTAATCCCCAATGCAAGCAAAGAGGAGGACGCTTTGTTTTTCAACAAAGCCAAATCCATATACGTATTATTAGAATATAATAAACTAACCCAATCAAAATAATATTTTCATCAAAATATGGGGGGATTTTAACCCCCCTCACGGAAATTTAAGATTCTTGATCATTGAAGAATTCGTTGCCATAGAAAACCACCCAAACCCCGACCAACCGCCCCTAAAGTTTCTTTTTGACTAGTTAAATTTTGTGAGGTCTGTGATAGCACCTTACAAAGAAGCGCCATCTATGGGATGGTAGCTCAACTGAACGAATTTTTTAGTGGCGGCTACTCTCCAATAGATGGCGCTGCATATCGGTAGCTACCACAAGGTCCACCGTTTTGAATGACTACCTTGGGCTGGTGAAATCCGTTCAGTAATCCCCAATGCAAGCAAAGAGGAGGACGCTTTGTTTTTCAACAAAGCCAAATCCAATACGTATTATTAGAATATAATAAACTAACCCAATCAAAATAATATTTTCATCAAAATATGGGGGGATTTTAACCCCCCTCACGGAAATTTAAGTTTCTTGATCTTTGAAAATGCGTTGCCATAAAAACCACCCAAACCCCGACCAACCTCCCTTTAAAGGATCTTTTTGACTAGTTAAATTTTGTAAGTGCAACAAAGTCAAATCAATACATAATATCCAAACAAATCTTTTTATCAAATAATGGTAGGATTTTTAAATCGCCTCACGGAAATGTAAGTATCTTGACCTTAGCTGCTAGCGCGCATGCGCATCTCAGGCACATTCATACGTCAAACTTTTTCGCTGTAGTGTATTTATATATTATATCTGCCACCGCTATTCCAAAGCCGTATGCTACGGATCGCTGTCACCAAGATCGCAGACATGCGGGGAGGTAGATGAAAAAGGCATTTTGCTCTTGGTATAGAATTGGCGGGAAGTCAAAAGTTTCCCTGACACCTCATTTTTTGCGATCCTGATGCTAAATGCAAATGATATTCTTTTTTATAAATTGTGGAATGTTGTTAAAAATTTGCTACTAGGATCGCAGAAACTCAAGGTACAGAAAAGGCATTTTGCTTCTGGCGTAGAGGCGGCCAAAGTCTCAGATAAATATCTCATTTCCTGCGCTCTTGATGCAAAATGCACAATTGACTGATTTTCTTTCTTCAAAGAATGATTGCTACCAGGAACACGAGGAGGTATATCAAATAAGCCGAAAATGCATGGTACAGAATTTTTAAGGGTGGGGAATATTGGGGAGTAAAAAGTTCTATACATGTTGAAGTAACTTTAATCATTTTTCAAATAAGCCTGTTATATGAACATGACGCGAGTTTAAGGCAAATACATGCATCATACAAATCTGAATTTGTTCGGACTTTTTATAAGTATATTAAATATTTTAAATGCAACATGAATGAAAGTGGTAAGGTCATGTAAAATAAAAATATAAAGCAAACAATGGAATTTCAAGAACTGCAATATATATTAGGTAATACTCCAAAATAGGTGGCATTTTATGTCTTTACCTCATTCGATCTTTAATAATTCAATATACTGACTAAAATAATTTTCATCTCGTGAAGTTTTACTTCAGACACCCATTTCAGAGTCTTGTATAACAGTGCTTATTCGTATATATGTAGTATAAATCACAACTATTTGAAATTCCATTTTATTATAAACAGGAACGTACTATATAAAAAAGAAAACAGTTCTGTGAATAACAACGTACATAATATCATTTTAAAACATCAAACCATAGATTCAATTAGATTTTTTTTTTACCATATCATTCAAGATTAATCGCAGAAAATACCCAAAAAACTATCAACATAAAATTGATAATAAAATGATGTTTGTGGAAAATAGGATAGTTGGACGGCCCTATTAAAAACAACCACTGAAAATTAGTATTTAACAAATTTTGGACGAATACATTATAATCGACATATCAGCAATTCAAAAGACAAATATTTCTCATTGATATTCAAAACAAAGGACAGACAATAGCACGGCAAAGGTTACAAATGAAAATCTCCCGACGAACCAGAAGCATTTTTCAAGCACCGAATATACTTTTTTATTCATTTTGCTCAATAAAATGTGAAAAGTAAACAAACCATATAGTGTAAACACATTTGATTGGGAAGTCAATCTTTTAGGTAAGCGCAACTTTCAAGTCGTGAGATTATTGTTGTTTTGATAGTTTTTTAGATACTTTGTACAAAAGTGGACAACCCATAATTATCATTTAAAATTATTCTGACCTATTCTGCGGCTCTGTTTACTAAAAACGTATATGTCCTTCTATTTTTCATACTATGGTTGTGCAATGCTATAAAACAGATTATTTATTGACATAAACCTTCATTTTGAAAGTAATAATTACACTTTCTGATAATAATCACATGGACCTTTGTCTGCTTAGAACAGGAGATTCTTAAAACGTAATATGTTAAACTTTTTCAATTGTAGCATTTCTGGCTCCAAGAGATCGCATCTCAAGTAATGTATAGCCTGCAAAGATGTCATAAATAGCACAGCCTAAATTTCAATAAAAGGATAATAGAAAGAAAGTAAAAAAGAAATGCAAGCTAATATCTTGTTTTTGAAGCACATTCAACGGAATGTGTATATTTGGTTAGTTGTTCATGAAGCGTATGTTATGGCCATCACACTTAGTTCAGAGGCCTTATAATAAATTAGAAACTGCAAGTATAAAAAGTAATAAATAACGAACTAATAAAAAAAGTTTAGTACACTGGACTTAAATGGTAGGCAAAATTATATTACAGGCTTCAGGCTACCTTGAGCAAGGGAAGTTGCCTGAAATGACTGCTGGAAACTAGGCAAGACTTGGAGACTTCTAAATCCCATCATACAGGGTGTCCCATAGTTCGACGTCAAGCCGAAAACGGGGGATAAGCCAAGTCATAATAGTTATCACAAAAATATAAAAAAAATCTAAGTCAACATTTCAAATTACACGTTTTTAAAAAATCGGAAAAATTTACGACCTGTGAGATCTTTTAGTTTCCGTTACTACAAATTTCAATTTTTTTTTTTTTAGATAGTCAATGTCATTCTACATAGTGACTACTGATGGGAGCAAAATCACGGACTGTTACTCAATCACAGATATCAGTCAATCATAAGTTGCTACTGCTACTCCATGATGCACGAAACTGCGATTCAAATCACGACATTCCCATATCGGTCTACTAAGTAAAGCGAATAGCAGTAGGCTGGCGTTCAGTTCAATGAACCCGCTTCAGAGGTAGTTCTTCTCGGTGATTTCAATGCCCATAATGAGCTTTGGTTGGGCTCAAATAAGACCGATGCAGCAGGTCGTGCAGTCGAAGCGTTCGCTCTTACTCAAGGGCTGACCCAGCTGGTGACGAGCCCTACTTTTTTTCCCCGCGTCTCGTCACACGCCAGTAGCCTGCTGGATCTCTTTCTGACCACGCGTCTTGCCCCTTACAGCACTGCTGTCCTGTCCCCCCTGGGTAACTCAGACCACGGTGTTGTGGAGGTTAGGTTTCGGTCAGAAGCCGCTGTGGCAGCAGAAACTCGCACAGGCCGCAAAACTTGGCATTACGGACATGCCGACTGGGAGGGGCTCAGAGACTTCTTCTCTAGCTTTCCTTGGAGAGATGTCTGTTTCACTGACGCGGATGCGTCGACTGTCTGTTCTTCAATAACCGAAATTATCCACGTCGGAATGGAGGAATACATCCCTCACACAGTGAAAGTTCCTAAACCAGGGTCCAACGGCTGGTTCAACAAATCGTGTGACACTGCTCGCCAGCAGAAGATCAAGGCCCACAGAACCTACTTACAAAACCCCACTGTAGAGAACAGACAAGCCGACGTCGAGTCCAGAAACAAATATAACGAAGCGGTTCGCAATGCCAAAAACCAGCATGGTATAAAGATTTGGCACAGGGTAATGTCGCAGCGCAATGGCAGTCGGTCTTTCTGGACGCTGGCCAAGCAGATTGAAAAGAACTTCTCACACAGTAGCCTTCCACCACTTACGTGTCAGGATGGAACTATTGTATCCGACTCAAAGGCCAAGGCGGAAGTGCTAGCCAAGATCTTTGCTGCCAACTCCACCATGGACGTCCCCACCAACGCCCAAGTGCCGTCAATTCAAAGGGTTCCCCACACTATGCGGGAGGTAACATTCAGGCATAAGACCGTAAGACGAGTGCTCTTGTCGCTCGACATCAACAAAGCTTCTGGTCCGGACTTGATTCCTGCCATTGTACTGAAGAGATGTGCAGCGGAGCTTGCTCCAGTTCTTTCGCGTCTCTTCCAGATATCTTATGAATCCGGCACCTTCCCAGAAAACTGGAAATTTGCTCATGTACAGCCCATCCCAAAAAAAGGATCTAAAACCGACCCTTACAACTACAGGCCTATAGCTCTGCTTTCTGTTATAAGTAAAGTGATGGAGAGGTGCATAAATCGCGAGCTTCTGGACTACCTCGAACGTCACAGCTTGATTAGCGACAGGCAGTACGGTTTCCGGCACCAACGATCCACAGGGGACCTCCTAGCTTACGTCCCGCAACTGTGGAGTAAACTCATCCAGTCTCATGGTGAGGCTCATGTCGTTGCTCTTGACATCACGAAAGCGTTCGATCAGCTGTGGCACGCTGCCCTCTTAAACAAACTTCCATCCTACGGCCTCCCAGAAAAGCTTTGCAGATGGGTGGCTGACTTTATCTCTGGCCGCAAGATATCCGTCGTAATTGACGGATTCTCCTCTTCATCCCACAACGTCAACGCGGGTGTTCCCCAGGGATCGGTCTTGGCTCCAACACTGTTTCTCTTACATATCAACGACCTCCTTTCCTGCACGATCAACCCAATCCACAGCTTCGCTGATGACAGCACTCTACATGCAGGAATTCAGAGTGACAAGCCGATCTCTGCCGCTGAGCTGGAAAAAAGAAGACTAGCGACGACTTCTTCTCTGACAAGAGACCTGGACGCTATCACTGCTTGGGGACGCAACAATCTTGTACAGTTCATTGCTTCCAAAACACAGTACTGTACTTTGACGAACAAAAAGCGTCCTAGCGCTCATACAGTTTCGATGGACGGTCGAGTTCTACCAAAGAGCCATTCATTTCGGCTGGTCGGAGTCCAGATCACCGAGGACCTGATCTGGCACGAACACATCTCTTCAATAGCTGCAGCTGCTGGGAAAAAGCTAGGCTATTTGTTTAGGGCTAAGAAGTACTTTTCTCCGCATGACCTTCTCACTCTATACAAGGCCCAGATAAGGCCTAGCCTCGAGTATTGCTCACACATTTGGGGTGCTGCCGCCCCGACTACATTGTCCATGCTCGATGCTGTCCAGAGGAGGGCGGTCCGACTGATCGATGACTCTTCTCTAACAGACAGTCTCGGGACTCTTTCGCACCGGCGGGCCGTCGGCGATCTAGCTCTTTTCTATCGCTACACCAACGGGCTTTGCTCCTCAGAGCTCTCTTCCATGATGCCGCCGCGTGATGTGCCTGCCAGACAGACCCGCCTAACTTCGGCGTCCCATCCTAACCGTGTCAAAATTCGTACATCCAGAACTGGCCGATACGACCGCTCCTTTGTCCCGAGGGTGTCTAGATTGTGGAACAATCTACTTGAGGAAGCTTTTCCCAGTTCTACTAACCTTAGGCAGTTCAAAAATCGTATTAACAAAATTTCTTTGGGATCATCATAGCAGCCGCGGTGTTCCGGCATTTAGGCTTCTGCCTGCGCGGCTGTTTCGATATAAAAAAAAAAAAAAAAAGATTCACTGGCGGAATACTCCGCTCCGCACTCCGCTTACTGCTTGGCGCTTGCTGCCCGCTGGCGGCCGATGCCGATACCCGATATTCCTATCTCCTTATCTCTCCTCTCTCTTTAACATGATTGTAGCGACCTGCTGCGACCTGAAGCGTAAGCGACGCCGATTTTTTATTTATTATCTGGATGTTATGATTGCAGCGCACGTATTTTTTTACCAACCAGCGGACATTCAAAAAATAATAGGAACATTGTGATTTAGTATTTCTAGTTCAGTATACATCAAGTACTAGTGATAGTGTTTAGTGAAATCAAATCACTTGTTTAAATTTCATAATGCCACCTAAAATACAGGGTAAAACAAAAACAAGTCAGGTGTGGAGGTTTTTTGAACAAATAGACTCAGAATACACAAAATGCAATATGTGTAAAAGCAAGTTTTCATATAGGACAAGTACTACGAATCTTAATAAACATTTAAAAAGCAAACATCCTACTGTGCATCTTTTTGAGGATAAACCTAAGGTAAGATAAATTTAATGAATATATTATGGTACAATTAATTATAGTTTTATATTTTTATTTCAATAGATACCCACAGTAATGGAAACAGATACCATAACTACTTCCGGTGAGTTACAAGAACAACAATCTGATTTATCTAATTCACAACCATCTACTTCCAAGCAGCAAAAATTAAATATTGACAGCGAGTCAGTATTATCACCACGAATGTTGCGGCAGGTAACAGTTGAAACATTTTTGCCCAGAAAAATTTCAGTCAGATCAAAAGAATTTATAGACCAGAAATTACTTAATTTGTTTATTAAAGACTTGCAGCCATTTAGCATTGTCGAAGACCCTGGGTTTAGAGAATTTATTGCTGCATTAAATCCGAGTTATCAGTTGCCTAGTAGAGACGTTGTGTCAAAAACGTAGTTACCAGCAATGTATGAAGAATGCTTGACGAATACTAAAGAACTAATACAAACAGGGAAAACATTTTGTATCACAACAGATTCATGGTCATCAATAAATACAGTTAATTTTGTTGCTATTACTGCCCATTTTTTGGATGAAGATTTCGAGTTACATTCATTATTACTGGAATGCTCATCTTCTGATATTCGACACACATCAGAAAATTTAGCTGCAGAATTACAACGAGTGGTTACAAATTGGAACATTACAGATAAAATAATATTTGCTGTCAGCGACAATGCGAGGAATGTTCAGAAAGCAATTAATGATATTGGTTGGAAAAGCTTTGGTTGTATTGCACACACACTCAATTTAATCGTTAAAGATTCATTAGCAATCCAAGAAATAGGATCTCTAATAGAAAAAGTAAAAGTAATTGTTAGGCATTTCAGAAAAAGCAATATTGCTAATGGGAAGCTGAGGACATACCAGGAAAATTTAGGGAAAGGCCCTCTGAAACTTATAATGGAAGTTCCGACCAGGTGGAATTCCACATTTTATATGCTGCAAAGATTTATCGAATTAGAAGAAGCAGTAAAATCCACTGTAGCTATAATTGATAAAGAATTTCCACCTATTACGGCCACAGAATGGAAGGTAATTAAAGAGTTGTGCCAAGTCCTAAAACCATTCGAAAATGCCTCAAAAACTTTAAGTGGCGAAAGGTATTGCACGGCTGCTCTGGTAATACCTATGTATAATGGTCTGACAAATGTGTTAGAAAAATTGTCGAGAAAAGAGTTTACTCAACCTGTTAAAAAAGTGATAAATTTACTATCATCAGGTTTGCAGGAAAGACTCGGAACGGTACGAAACAGCAACACATTTTGTCTAAGCACGTACTTGGATCCTCGATTTAAAAATATTGGTTTTTTTGATGATGTGATTGCAGAACGGACAAAGAAAAATGTAATTTCTTTGATGACAGAAAAGATCAGTAAGAAGGAACAGATGCTTCAAGTGAATGTAGTAGAGCCGAGTGAAGATGATCAAGCAGATAAGGAGTTGTCAATTTGGGTAGATTATGACAAAAAAGTTGCGACCTCTCAACCTAAAGGAACATCGACCTCGCGAGCAATTATAGAGATGCAAAGATACATGGAAGAAAATATTACACCTCGACAAAGCGATACCCTACTTTGGTGGAAACAGCATAAGCAAATGTTACCTACTCTTTCCGAAATAGCCCAAGAAAGATTATGTGCCCTGGCATCATCAGTTCCATGCGAACGTTTATTTTCCAAGGCGGGGCAAATTTTAACTGAAAGGAGGAATCGTCTGTCCGATAAAAAGGTGCAAATGTTGCTATTTCTAAATGCTAATAAAAAATAAGCATTTATGAACATAGACTCAAATTTGCCATACGTTATTTCGTTATTTGATTTATCTATTTTATTTTTATTTTTTTACTGCAGTTATTGTTATATTCAAGTTTTAAGTTTATATTTTTTGCAATGGCGTTAATAAAATATGTTAATATATTTATCAGTCATGTTTATTGTTTAGCAATGGTAGCATTTTTTCATATAGTAATAATTGATTGTAAAGTATAGACACATTTTAATAATGTTACAAACGCTATGTTCTCCCAAGGAACTTAAAGTACTTAAACTGTTATTAGTGCTATTGCTATTATAACATTACGAAAGTCGTGATTGAATCACAGTTTAGAATCACTGCTACTGAACAATCACAATCACGAATCACGACATGATTTCAAAATCACAATATCGCGCATCACTAATAGTGACAGACAGATAGTAACCCACTTTTATTAATATTCATGCTTGTGTAATGTCACCATGTCTACACGATTTTTTTTATATTCAGATAACTATTATGACTTGGCCTATCCCCCGTTTCCGGCTTGACGTCGACTTCTGGGACACTGTATGCTGAATAGTTCCGGGAAATCCCCGTTCCACATGACCCGGAATTTCCGGGAAATATAAATCGGTTCGAAGGACCGGGACTCCAAAACCTTGGCCGATCTTTTCATCATTCCGGGGCTCTAAGTCAAAATAAACCTTTTTCTTAAAATATGAATTCAACTCCAACCGCTTTTTACGGCCTATTTTGGAGGGGTCACTGCTAATAAGTCTATTTAAGACTCATTCAATGCTAAGGATATTGTTTCTTATAATGAATAGGTGAAATTAAATGGCGTTTTCACTTAAACTTAAACCAAATAGGCCAACATTTTGATACTAATTAGAATAATCAGCAGTCTATTTTAACTTTTTTTCAACACCAATACTGAACTTGACACTAGAGCGCCGAGAATGTCGAATTTCTCGGTCCCTTTCCCAGCAAAATAACAAAATTTCCAATGGTTTGTAATGTACCAGTTCTTCATTTACTAATCAATCGTGCTTATGAAAAAATCTCTACCAAATATACACATTCCGTTGAATGTGCTTCAAAAACAAGATATTAGCTTGCATTTCTTTTTTACTTTCTTTCTATTATCCTTTTATTGAAATTTAGGCTGTGCTATTTATGACATCTTTGCAGGCTATACATTACTTGAGATGCGATCTCTTGGAGCCAGAAATGCTACAATTGAAAAAGTTTAACATATCGCTGCCCTAGTATTACAAAGGTGTATGTAACAAATCTATAAAATTTGAGATTTTGGGATAACATGGTTCTATGTATAATAAGGTATACACAGAACCTTTTAAATCTGAAATCAAGCGAATCTTAAGCTCAGAATCATAGAAAAATCAAAGGTGTATGTTTCAAAAATTCGAAAATTAAGTTACATAGTTCTATGTTGAACATACACCCACTTAATTCTCACTTTTGGTTAATTGTTTCGATATTTAAGAATAACAAGGTACCATGTTATAACATACACCCTTGTAGTTCTGAATTATTCTCATTTTGTATTTATAGGTTAGGGTTTTCAGCACAAGTTTTCAGTGTTATTTGTGTTGCTGCAGTGTAACTTCGTGTGTATTTTTGTATTTTCTTATTGTTAAAAATGGAAACTAATAGTGAGGGATCCGATACTTTTGATGATTATGACTCTGACAAAGATGCAGAATATAAACCACATAAAAAGGAATCCAGAAAACATATTAGGTAAGTGTAAGGTATAAATCTTATCTACAATTCTATGAATTTTTTGTATTCGAATATTTTTCAGCATTACAATACGGGGCAAGAAAATTTATATACCATGCCAACCAGGAACAGCAGACTCAGACTCAGCTTCTAATAATAAGGGTATTGGCACACGAAAAATATTCACGACGTATGTACAAATTCTTGCTTATTTTATGGTCGTAGTTGAACACGATGTGGCTTTTTAGTAATAAATTTAAAGTGTCACATATAGTGGCTGCATATGATTTTCAAACGTTTCGTTTCAACAACGGCTCAAATGATTGATGTCGAGTTCCTGCACTTGAATTGCGCTGTGGTATTTGATGTTTGATTAGGTTCACTGCAGTATGCCACAGCCATTGTTTGATAGCCTAACCCCCTAACCACATGTGGTACTTTAAATTTATTACTAAAGAGCCACACCGTGTGGTATTTTAACATGGGCCTAATTTTATAGTGTCGTAGTCTTTAAAGTGTAAGCTCTTTGTGCTGTTGTAGTGTCTCGACTATAAACCATGCCATTTAAAAATGGATTATCTTTTTTTTGTTTTAGAAAAGTTGGAAACACATCTGACAAAGAGAACAAGAGCACATTTGGAGAAGAACAGAATAAACATACCATGAAAAGCTCTATGAAACAACCCGTGGAACATTCTCTAGGACTTCTCGCAGAACATCCCGTGGAACACACTATGGTATGTTTCCTGGAACACTGCCTAGAACATCCCGACGAATATCCCAAGGAAGCATCCGTGGAGCCTTCCGTAGAGCGCCCCATGGGTCGCCATGTCGAAAGCCCTGTAGAACACCCCATTGAGTCTGAGGATTTAGTAGAGCACCAAACCGAAAAGAAGCTTTCACGTAAAAGAACTAGGGACCCAAAATCCTGGGCACACAATATTCGAAAGGAAAAATATGATAGAGGAATGGAGTACGTGTCATCAAGAAAAAAACTTCGTCCAGCTAGAAAAATTGTAACAAAAAAAGATTGTTTAAATAGATGCCACTTTAAATGTGCTACAAAACTAACTGAAGATGATAGGAAAGATATTTTTTCAAACTATTATAAGTTAGACGCAAACGAGAAGAGAATGTTTATCCTAAATACGACTATAAAGTGTAAGGTTGAAAGAAGGAGAAAGGGAAAAAACTCCGATAACTCACGAAAAATGAATAGTTATGGATATTTTTTCATATTAAATAACAACAGACTACAGGTCTGTAAAGACTTTTATTGTGGAACAAAGGCTATAAGCCAAAAACCTATATATACCGTCCATAACCATGCAACGAATTCCCACACACTCAAAAAAAGCACACAGGGAAAGCATAAGAAGAAGTATATTCCAGAAGAGACTATAAGTTTAGTGAAAGAGCATATCAAAATGTTTCCTGTCGTAGGGAGCCATTATTGTCGCGCAGAAACAAAAAGGCAATACCTAGAAGGTGAACTATCAATTAAGAAAATGTATGAGCTCTATGAAGAATTTGTAGCAGAAAAGGGTTTAAGCCCTGTAAAATTTCACAAATACCGTGAAATTTTCTGTACAGAGTTCAATTACTCTTTTATTAAGCCAGTAAAAGATTTATGTGATCTTTGTGCCGAGGTAGATTTAAAGAAAAAAGAAAATAACCTTACTGATGAAAAGAGATATGAATTTGAGAGACATATTAAAGAAAAGAACCTTATGAGAGAAGAAAAGAAAGCAGACAAAGAAAGTGGCATACCAATTCTGAATTTTGACCTAGAAAATGTTCTAACTTGCCCAAAGGGAGGAGTAAAGAATTTTTTTTACAAGGCTAAGCTTAATGTTTACAACATGACCGCACATCTTTCAATTGACCGAAAAGTTTATTGTGCAGTTTGGTCAGAAGCTGTTCATAGTCGTGCTGGTAATGACATCGCAAGCGCTGTCTACAAAATTCTAAGAAGGGTTACAGAAGATTGTCCTCTATTGGATGAGCTGATTTTGTGGAGCGATAGCTGCGTCCCACAAAATCGGAACAGCTTAATGAGTTATGCTATTGCCCATCTTTTACAAGTCAGTTCGAGCTTAAAGAAAATAACAATGAAATTTTCCGTACCAGGGCACTCATGCATCCAGGAAGTCGATTCCGTGCATAGCGCAATTGAGCGCACTCTGCGTAAATCTGAATACTCGTCTCCCATTTCTTTGATTCGGATCCTTTTAAAGGTGAATTCTAAAAAACCTTATAACATTCTTCAAATGAGAGAACAGGATTTTTTTGATTTTAATTACTATTCGGTTAAAATGAATTATAAGTCTGTCCCATTTTCAAAGGTGGTAGCCTTAGAATTTAACAAATCGTTCTACGAGATAAGGTATCGGCTCTCTTTTTCTGAGGCTGAATATAGATCTTTGAATTTAAGACAAAGAATTGGCCGACGTCAATCCCACGTCACTGCAGAAAGTGGCGATATATTATTTCCCGAAATACTGAGGAAAAATGATTATGCAGTGGTACTTGCACAACACAAAGTAGATGCAATAAAATCAATGTTCAAGTGGATGCCAAAAAATGATGTGACTTTCTATGAAACTGTTTTTAGTAGATTAGATAAAAATAAAAAATAAGATTTCGAGTATAAGTATTTGATGGATTTGATACTCCCTTGTATTAACTAAGTTTTAGTTTGTTTTGTCTTAACTTTAAGAATTTGGGTTATTTTTATTTAATTTCAAGTTTTGAAGTCCTATGTTTGCCAATATCCTTAATTTTTAAACTTATTTGACAGTAACGGAGTCCTATGTATTTTTGTTTATCTAAAATAAAGACCAATAAAAAAAAGTGTGACGACTTCCTTTATATACCATGTACCTTTTACTTACAAAGATGTAAAAATCACAGTAAGAACCAAAAGATGTTCAAATTTAAGTAGATATAAACCTCAATTTCTTTAATATTGATTTTCTCGAGTTCGAATAATTGTAACATAAGACTATGTAATTCTAGGGCAGCGATATTACGTTTTAAGAATCTCCTGTTCTAAGCAGACAAAGGTCCATGTGATTATTATCAGAAAGTGTAATTATATCTTTCAAAATGAAGGTTTATGTCAATAAATAATCTGTTTTATAGCATCGCAAAACCATAGTATGAAAAATAGAAGGACATATACGTTTTTAGTAAGCACGACTAATTAGGAAATGAAGAACTGGTACATTATAAACCACTGAAAATTTTGTGATTTTGCTGTGAAAGAAACCGAGACACCCGACGTTTTTTGGGCGCTAGTGTCAATTTAGTATTGGTGTTGGAAAAAAGTTAAAGACTGCTGGTTATTTTAATTCAGTATCAAAATGTTGGCCTATTTGGTTTAAGTCTTAGTGAAAACGCCGTTTGATTTATTTTATTCGTTATAAGAAACAATATCCTTAGCCATGAATCAGTCTTGGTAAAGCAGTTAGCTAGTCAGTAGAAAGCGATGATTCATATTTTAATAAAAAGGTTCATTTTGACGAGCCCCGGAAGGTTAAAAAGATCGGGCCAAGGTTTTGGATTTCCGTTTCTTCGTTCCGATTCATATTTCCCGGAAAGTCCGGGTCGCGTGGAACCGGAATTTCCCGGAAGTATTCAGCATCCAGCAGTCGACGTCATCATAATTTTACCTACAATAATATTCGTTTCAATTCATTACGTTCTACGTATGATAATAATAATAATATAAAAATACTTGAAAGCCTCTTATTTATTTCATAATCTAGCAATGAAATCGGGACCCTTCATCTAGTACGAAATAAACTTAGAGCCCTCCTCTGTATTTGCACAAAATTTTCATATTAATATCCGTATCTTAAAAGTTTTTAATCACTATCCACTAAATGTTAGATACCGGGCGCGATTACTTTCGTCTGGTGGTTTTGCGACTTAGTTGTTCTTCAGCTGCCATTTTTTGCTTGTAGTCTTCAATAATCTCTTGCGCTTTCACTAGGAAAGTTAACGAGTTGTTGATGAGTTCCTCCCAGCTTCTGCAGTATGCTGCAAAATAATGCTATTGGTGAAGTGTCTTGAGACGCAGTCAAAAAGAAAATATATTCAAAGTGCTGATGACATTTACTACTATTATTCATAATAATAATATTTATTCCAATGGGATACACCCAATTACAGGAACAGTATATAGACAAATATGAATATTTACGTAAATACCTTCGGAAAACGTATTCATACTCATTGCTCCATAAACAAATGCGTTATTAGTGGAAAAACTAAATTCCTTGTTTTTACATTATCTGCAATTAACACAATACAAGTCTGGATATAAGCACTTTTTTATGAGGGACAAAAATATGTAGACAAATTCTTTTCAACATTAGTTTAGTACAGTTTCGTGTCAGAAGAGGATTAGTTTGTGTTCATCAAGTATTGTGGAATAAGTTGAGTGATTTTAAGACCTTGCCGCGTGGTCCAGAAATTTCTTTAGATGTGAAAACTAAGATCATTGAGTTATACAAAGATGGTCAACGTCAATTCGACATTGCCAAAAATTTGAAGCTGAAGCGTAAAGCAGTTTGGGCAGTATTGAACAAACATAAACAAAAAGGTATCTTGGAAGCCTCTAAAAGAAGTAGTCGGCCTAGAAAACTAAATGCTAGATCAGTTAGATTGATAAAAGTAATTTCGTCCAAAGATCCGTTTAAAACCCCAAGACAAATAAAAGCCGAAATCGAGACAAAAGGAATTGTCAGTGTTTCTACGAAAACTATAAGTAGAAGATCAAATGATTTGAAGTTATTTGCACGTCGCCCGAGTAAGAAGCCGCTAATCTCGAGGAAAAACCGTAAGGACCGATTACAATTTGCACGGTTGCATCTTGACCTTCTCACTCTATACAAGGCCCAGATAAGGCCTAGCCTCGGGTATTGCTAACACGTTTGGGGTGCTGCCGCCCCGACTACATTATCCATGCTCGATGCTGTCCAGAGGAGGGCGGTCCGACTGATCGATGACTCTTCTCTAACAGACAGTCTCGGGACTCTTTCGCACCGGCGGGCTGTCGGCGATATGGCTCTTTTCTACCGTTACACCAATGGGCTTTGATCCTCAGAGCTCTCTTCCATGATGCCGTCGCGCGATGTGCCTGCCAGACAGACCCGCCTGACTTTGGCGTCCTATCCTAACCGTGTCGAACTTCGTACATCCAGAACTGGCCGATACGACCGCTCCTTCGTCCCGAGGGTGTCGAGATTGTGGAACAATCTACAAGAGGAAGCTTTTCCCAGTTGTATTAACCTTAGGCAGTTCAAAAATCGTATTAATAAAATTTCTTTGGGATCATCATAGCAGCCGCGGTGTTCCGGCATTTAGGCTTCTGCATTTCGGGGTTTGGGATGGGACCTTTACATATGGATAAGTTTGTATACACAGACATACTAAAGCATGTCATGTTACCCTATATGGAAGACAATATGCCCTTAAGATCAATCTTCCAGCAAGATAATGACCCGAAGCACACTTCAAATCTCGCAAAGAAATTCTTGCTGGGTGAAAAAATACCAGTTCTCACATGGCCTTCACAGTCTGCCGATATATAAACCCCATTGAAAATCTATGGGAATACTTAGATAAGCAAATACGAGATAAAAATTATTCAAACAAGGATGAACTTTTTGCCGCTTTCGAGCAAAAATGGAGACAGATTGATGAATCTTATATCAAGAAACTTCTACAATCTATGCCGAGACGATGCCAGGCGGTGATTGATAATAATGGTTATGCTACAAAATATTAACACAAACATGGTTGGTTTCCTATAATTCAATGAACTTTGCTTCTTTTTTCTATTTTGTTTTGTATGTATAAGTGAGTATTATGCTATAACGAATTATGTATACAGGTTGGTGTGTTAATAAAACAAGTTAAAAAAGAAATTCAGCACAATATTAATTTGTCTATATACTTTTGTCCATTACTGTATATGTGGTATAAAAGCAATAAGGTATATACAAAAAAATAGACAAAACGTAATAGGGTGTAATTTTATTGATGTCTAAAAATACAGGATAGGATTCGTCAGCTCATTTCAGGAAGAAAAGTTTATGTGAACATATGTCCTAAACCCCTTAACTTTTGAGCTACAGGGTGTTAGAATTTCAAGAAAAAATTAGTTATCATAACTTTAATACTGTTGTTCTAGATATTTTCATGAAATTTCACATGCACCTACTAAGCACCAATAGGCATTTTTGAAGTACGGGAGATTTAAACAAAAAATAATATGCCATTGATTTTAAAAAAATATATTTTTGAAATCCTCAATCATTTTGCAATAAATTTGACCTCTATTTGAAAGGGTTCGCCAATCCACGAGAAAGGGAATTGAAGCCCGTATTCTAGCAAAACGAGGACATTTTTAATAATTTTTGTGATAAATTAATAGTATCAGTTTATTTGATCCAGAGAAATTTTCAAAACTTATTGCAAACTTGTCTTTTTAATTTACATGCATTGCAAAATCACAAAAATCTCATGTGGAAGTTTGAGGGTGAGATGTGGTTTTGTTCAATTTGTATTCAAGTAAAACCAATTGATTAAAATAGCCACAGTGGCTATTTTTTACGCGAAAACGATGCATCGGACGGAATAAAGTCAAGAGATCAAATTTTTTGCAAAATAAATGAGGATTTCAAAAAAGAAATGTCAAATTTCATGAAAATCTCTAAAACAGTATTACAGTTATGATAAAAAACGAAGTTTTTCTCAAAATTTTAACAACATGTAGCTCAAAAGTTAAGAGATTTAGGACATATGTTCATATACACTTTTCTCCATAAAATTAGCTGAGGAATCATAACCTGTATTTGTAGCTATCGATTAAATTAATAAAATAAATCGTACACTGACAAGGACGGTAGAATTGAGCTATTTCCACATTTCAAATACTGGCACACTTGCATACATTTCTTTTTTTTATGTTCTGCTGTTGTTAATTTATTGATATATTTTAGTTGTTGATATATTTCCTGTAATTAGGTGTAACCTGTTGGGACTTACAGTAGCAGACAAAAGTTTGGAAACAAATATTAACATTATTATGAACTATTTCATATACCTAAATTAAAATTGTGAAGGAACAGATAATATAAATATTAACGTCTACCTTTGGCTCCCATACTAATACAAGGTTTATCTTATCAATATTCAAATTCTCCGAAACAAAAGCACGCGGTTTTTTAAATACCACAGTTTTTGTAAGGACAAAAGTATGGAAGCATTTCAGTTTTGCCGTATTCATTCGTTCTGCGAGAGAGAATGACAAAAGTAAAAGAATTTTCAAAAGATTTAAGAAACAAAGTGATTGAATTATTTAGGAGTAGTGTCAGAAATGTTGACATTTCTCAAAGATTAAAAATGAACATAGGGACGATTTCGAAAATTATTAGCAAATATCAAGAATACGGATCAACAGCAACGCTGCCCATGTGCGGAAGACCGAAAAAAAAAACGATGTTTTGGATCGCTACATTAAACATTTGCCCCATGAAAATCCTCGAATACCCGCCACACAGATTTTCAAAAGAACTGTGGAAGAGGGTGCCGAGAACCTGTCTGTCAGAACAGTGCATGGTATATTTTGAGCATTTTGGTAGATGTCCAGTGCAAAAACCTCTCATTTAAAAAAAATATCGTATTTCGCGGCTTGAATTTACTAAAACTCATCTAACTTGGACAGAACACCAATGGAATACAGTTTTATGGAGCGATGAAAGCAAATTTAACTTGTTTGGATCTGACGGTACGGCATATGTGAGACGTCCGATACAAAAAGTGTCAGTTGCCAACATTTAAGCGCGGTGAAGGCAACATCATGGTTTGGGGCTGTTTTTCTAGTTCTGGAACGGGTCCAATTGTTAAAATTGTTGGGAAAATGGATCAAAAACTTTACAAAGATATTCTTAGTGATCACATGCTCCCTCCTGCTGAAGAAGAAATGCCTTTACGATGGACATTCTAGCAAGATGATGACGCCAAGCATACCTCAAAATTCGTAAACGACTGGTTACGACTAAAAAATGTTAATGTTCTTAAATGACCTTCGCAATCTTCCAACCTAAACCATATAGAACATCTCTAGGAGCATGTTAAGAGACAACTGACAAGAAAAACTTTAAAATACAGGAATGATTTGATTATGTGAAAAATATTTGGCAAAATATCCCAACAGATGTCTGTAAAAAAGTGGTGTCTTCTATGAGCAGCAGATGTCAGGCAGTGCTGATAGATAAAGGCTATGCTACCAAATATTAGCTAAACAGTATTTTTTAAATCTTTTTGTAGAGTTATTGTATTTAATTTTGTAATAAAAAATATGTTCCCATACTTTTGTCGTCTCATGTTTGGTAATAAAATAATATGAAGGTATTTTAATGCTAGTCTGTAGTACCCCAGCAAACACAAATTGTCATTTATATCCTCAAGACTGTAAGCAAACTATATGAGAAAAACATAGTCCTTAATAATGAAGAATAAAAATTAGCGCACTTTTTAAACATTAATAAGAATGTTTCCAAACTTTTGTCAGTTACTGTATAAATAAATAAATGAAAAGGTCAATAATCATCAAATCATGAGTTAATTGCCGAAAACAAAACCAAAACTTCAATTATAGTAATTTACCTTCTTGATCATAGTCAACTTGATCGGCAGTAACTAATAAATCGATTATGTTTCGACGTAGTGCTTCCACTTCCTCTAGCGTCTGCTTATGATTATCTAACATATTTTCTTCAGCTACTTCTAATTCTGATATACACTGGTGCAAGTTGATCATTTCGGGCGTCATATCGTTCTCCTGAAAAAAGGGTAATGATTAAAAATGCATTATTCAAGAAACTGATCTATTACGACTGCTGCTTAAATTTTATATCCAGCGAAAAATTGTACGTCGCTGGTTTTTGTTTGAAAAGTGTCTCTTGCAGTTCCTTATATTTGGTTTGAACAGTGCCAGCTCGATTACTATTTTTAATAACAATAAACAGATGTAATAAAATATTCGTTTAAATGGTGTATTAGAACGAAAAACCACATGAAGTCATTTTGTATATTTATACTTTTTTTTCTGAAAACACGTGGGTTGTCTCAAACATAAGGTGCCCACATTTTTTCAGGTACACGGAATTATTTATTTAAAAAAAATTACCATTGGAAACGATCTTTACGCAATTTTTCGTAAGCATTTTTTAGATGCGGAATCTAATTTTTCACTCCCGCCGCCAGCCCGCTTGGAAACTTGGAACTAGATGCTCCTACAATTTCGGAAACGCTATGTCAGGGCTGTAAGGAGGATGGTCAATGACTTTCCAGCCAAATCGCTCGATTCAGTTCATTGTATATTGTAAGACATGAATGAATGAATGAATCTTGAAATTAGAGGCATTCCGGCCACCATAAGGAGCCAGTGCATAGGCCGCTTAAGCGGGCCCCTATGCACCTCTACATTCCTTAGATCACAAGCCTCGCCCTTTTAGCGAAGTTGAGAATTGCCTCGAGTCCAAGCTCCTTGACGTCCTGAGGGCCCAAAGTAATGGACCCCAGTATAGTCTGCCTATACTAACTCAGAGCTTCACAGCGACACAAAACGTGCGCCGAGGTGTCTTCCTCTACCCCGCAGCGTTCACACAAGGGATCCTCAGCCACCCCCATCACGTGCAGGTGACGCCTTAACGTGTTATGGCCAGACAACAGTCCCACCAGCAACCTTAGGTTCGCTCTATCCAGAGATAGGCAGAAGCGTCCTTAGCACTGGGCCCTTCAATGAGTTCCCGTGCCTGGCAGAGATGTCTGGAGATACTTCTCCATTTCTGAGAGTGTTGTCTTGCAACCCACGTCTCCATTTTCCTCCTAGCTTTGTAAGACATGACGATGCGCTTTGTCTTTCACTTTGGAGAACCACCTGCTGCTGAATCGTGATTCGTCGATCTTCGAGAGAGATTAGCTAAATCTTCGTCATAACTTCCTCGGAGATCGACGGCCTCCCGCTTCGTTGTTCATAGTGAATGCTTATACACGTTTCCCACCTGTCGGAGACGGAGATGCAGGGCTCCAGGGCGCATGGCTGGCAGGACGGCACTGAGCGTCGCCAATAGGCGCTTCTTGTTGGGATCGGTGGTGGGGGAGCCGTCAAAGTTACAGCGTTGGGTACCTTATTTTTGAAACAACCCTGTGCCTTAAAAGTCAATTCTGTACATGGGGCATTTCACGTGAAGCTGACAACGAAAAATTGTAAGGTTTCAAAATTCGTTAATATTGGGTCTATTTGTAGATGTGTAGAAAACACGACTTTTATTTGCTAAGTTATGGGCTTCTTAAATATAGCCGTAATTAAAATTGGTATGTTTACTTTATATTTGTCATTTAGGTAATTCTTAAACAGCTCTTACCACAACTCACCATTAAAGGTGGAATAATACCCCAAAAATATCCAACGACTTTGTTCCCCCCAAAACATCAACCAGAACAGGGCTGTACAACATGCGGCCCACGAACTCCTTTCTTGCGGCCCGCTTCACGGGTCATGTATACATCACATGTATAAATTACACTCAAATACCGAATATGCATATACCTATTAAAACTCAATAATAATGTTGTATAGAAAGATTTTATAAAGCGGAGAAACTGCATTTTTTTTTGAAGTGGCCCTTGGGCCACATTAAGTTGGACAGCCCTGCCCCAGAACATATATGGTTTGTTCGTACACTAGTCGGTAACTGTCAAAATCAGAATCAGATAATAATAATAATAATAAGCGTTTATTAATAATAAGCGTTTATTGCCCAACAATTTAACACCATTTACAGAGCAAACTACTATAAAAAAAATCACCATGAGGTAGCTTGTTAAGAAAAAAAAAACAATAATAGTTCATGTATCAATAACAAAAAATAAATATAGTTACAGCTTAAAAATAAGAAACGTAAGATAAATCAAAAGTGAGCACGCAATTTGCACTTCAATTCACCTATGCTATATAAGAATATGTCACATACATCGGCTATTTTATTCGCATTCACACACATCATGTTGACAGGCGCTTTCGACAATAAGTTTGTTTGAGCTCTTTGACATAAAAAAGGAACATTATACCTTGATGTTAGTCGTGGTACCAGAAACTGTATTTGTGAAAGTATTGTAGGGCAGTCTATTAGATTATGCAGTAATTTATATAAAACTATAACTGCTGATTGCTGACGCCGTTGTTCTAAGGATTGAATGCCAAATTTATGTACCTCTAGTAGGATATACGCCATCGATCTTAAAACATAAAAATTTTAAAAATTTCTTTTGAAGTTTATCAACAACATCAATATACCGCTTGTAAATCGGACTCCATATCAAAGATCCATATTCAAGCTTAGACCTAACCAAGCTAAAGTATAATGTCTGCAAAGTCAAAACGTCAAAAGATTTACAATTCCTGATAACGAAGCCATAGGTTCGGTAAGCACTTGCTATGATTTGATTGAAATGCTCATTAAAGGTTAGATGTTGATCAAAGTAGATACCTAAGTCTTTCACAGTTTCACTGCTCTCAAGAACATGTTGGATCATTGTATAATTATATACCATTGGGTTGGTTTTCCTTGAAAAAGTTACTACTTTACACTTACTTATATTAAGATGAAGTTGATTCTTGGCACACCAGCTTTGCAATTTATTTATTTGACCTTGAACAAATGCACAGTCTTCCAAGCACGAAACGGATGAATAAAATTTTAGGTCGTCTGCAAACATTAACTTAGAACAAGCCAAAGATTCACACAGATCATTCATAAACAATATGAACAACAGTGGTCCTAAATTCGAACCCTGTGGTACGCCACTGGTTGAGACATAAACATGTGATATGTAGCCATTATACAAAACATACTGTTTCCTTTCAAACAGATATGATGTTAAGAGCGCTAAGTAAATGTTGTTGAAGCTCAGGTACTCAAGCTTTCGGAGCAAAATACTGTGGCTGACCCTATCGAAGGCCTTGGAGAAATCGGTGTACACCACATCTACCTGTCCTCTATTGTCTAATCTTTCGCACAAGTATTGGCTAAATACCATCAAGTTTGTTAGTGTTGAACGCTGCCTTATAAAACCATGTTGGTCGATGGAAATATTATTTTTAGTGGACAGGTAAATGCGGTTGTACAGTACGATCTCCAAGAGTTTTGCAAAATTATTGAGTATAGATATAGCCCTATATTCACTGATACAGTGATAATTTTTTGACTTTGGAATTGGGCAAACTTTGGCAATTTTCCATTTATCGGGGAAAACAGTCGTTGTTAGGATTAAATTGAAGATAACCCGTAAAGGATGAACTAATTTCCTGATACAATCTCTAACAATAAAAGATGGGATTTGATCAGGTCCAGCAGTCAATTTACTTTTAAGCTTTCTACAGGCCACTAAAATTTCCTCATCTGATATTGGCTCACAACTAATGTGGACGAGTCCACTATGACTGAAATCAAAGTTCAACTCAGTATCGACTTTAGCAGTTGAGTAAACGCTGGAGAAAAAATCAGCGAAGGCGTTGACTATACTTTGCGGATCACCAAATGACTCGTTTCCATACAACATTCTATTCTGAATCCTAGAAGTGTTGTTTTTACTATGTACGAAAGACCAGAAAGACTTAGGGTCATCATTTAGCTGATTTTGAATGGTTTGAAGATAGATATTATATGCCTCTTTGGTTTTAAGCTTAAATATTTTCCTGATTCTGCTGAATTCTTGGTAATCTTGGTTAGCACCAGACCTTTTAAATTTTTTGTGCGCTTTGTCTTTTTGTTTTACTAGTTTTATAATTTCACTGGTGTACCAAGAGGGATATTTATGCCTGAAATTTTTATATTGTGGAGCGTGTGCATCGAATAATTCGTAAAGTTTGGTATAAAATGCATTAATTGCATCATTTGTGTCGCTAGTGTTATCCAAGAAATCCCAATTAACCAATAACAAAGAATTGTACAGCGAAAAAAAGTTAGCACGTCTAAAATTATATCTTTTTTGGTCAGTACTGACTGTGACGTATTCACTCTTTTTGCAGACAGTTTTTAATGTTACGGACAAAGAAGGATGATACACGTCTTCATCCACTAATGGAGCTAAATCTCTATAAACAATACAATTAATGTTACTTATTACTAAGTCCAGGATTCTATCATATTGGTTATGAATATTATTATACTGTTTGATGTTCCAGAAGTTGAGCCAATTAACAATGTAGCGGGTCTTTGCGTCATTTAAATTATTTTCCACAAAGTTTGGAGAATTGAAATCACCCAGAAAGACAACACGTTTGGAATGCATGATTTCCCAGTTTTCTAACATTTCAAAAAAAGCTTCAAATGTATCAACAGAAACATGTGGTGCAGCATATATGACAGCGAAATAAAGATTCTGATGAGATACAATGCATTTGCATACCAAAAAATCTATTTCTGGGAAACTTGTATCAAACTGCGTAGTATCTACTACAACAGAGTTAAGAGCCGCTTCAAATGCCAGTAGTACACCACCACCCATTGACAGGTTCAATTGATTATGTTTTCTGTCCTTACGATGAACGTCAAAAGAATTGGGAAATAATTCGAGAGAGTTTACTTCGGGCTTTAGCCACGTTTCGCTTAAAGCAAATACATTATACTCACAGTCACTCACAGCAGGATAGAATTTGTTAATTTTGCCTTTTAGCCCTCTAACATTCTGATAGTACACTGTCAAAAAATCACTACATCCACTATTGGGCCGACCTAGTTTAAAGGAACAATCCTTGGTACATTGTTGATGAACTTGATCCTACAGTTATTATCTCCTGCTTCATGACGCCTGGCTAACTCAGTTCTGATACTTTTATAATGCTCCATTTGCCTTTTGGTGCGATCCTGTACGATGTTTACATGCTTGAAGGTATTACTTGATTTAAGCTTTTTCGCATTCACCAGAACCTGCAATGCTGAGTCATAGCTGTCAAGTATTACCTTGATGGGTCTAACTTTTGTGCCGCAAAACATTCCTAATCTCATCACTTTTATGTTGGTTAGCCTCACGTCAGGGACAGCTTCACGTAACAAGTTGACGACAACTGTTTTATCAGATTCATTTTGCTCACTTCTGGCTTTTTGATCAGGCTCAGTGACATTAAAGACTATTACGTTGTTTCTACGTCTTTCACGCTCTGAAATCTCAGATATGATGTCTTCCATGGAAAAACTTGAATCTGCATTTTTGGTGTTATCAGTTTTCAAATCCTTTATTTGATTACGCAAATCGATTATTAATGCCTTCAAGTCATTAATGTCTTTACCTATGGATCTGCAGTCCTTACAGGTCCAATCGTACCCCTTGCTCGAATTTAAAGTACGAACCTCATTTGCGCTGATTTCCACACAGGAATGCTTGTATTTCTGCTTACAAACACAGCACGTAACAATTTGATGAGGCTCACACTGTTGATTACAGCAGCTGCAAGGGACTCTAGCTGGCATAATTATGAATTTTGTGTGCAAATGTTTGTTTTCTAAATCAACACAAGTACGCCACTGGAAAACTATTTCCACTTTGTTTCAATGAAAATTCCAGAAATTCCACCAGAGATTGTAGAGGTTAGCTTTCTTTTATTATCAAAAAAAACTGTGTTAAACTATTAAAGATGAACTAGAAAAACTTGCCCAATGCTCAGTAATTACGTGAGCGTAACTATGATACTCGCAAACAAATTTTCAATTGAGTCTCACTACCGATCTTAGAAGCTATAACGGAGCTAGTAAAACACGTATTGTTAAGGTTATGATCTTGTTAGGTTTCAGATCAGATAGATGTTACCTGTTCGTACAGTTTCTGAGTGTTTGCCAACAGCTAATACGCTGTTCGTACAGAACCTTCTGACAGATCAGAGGACACCAGTCAACCAGTGACAGTGGTAGGTATCAGAGTGTGTCGGAACTACCTTGAGGACTAAAATTGCTTCGCAAGAGGCATTTTATGAACTTTTCTCGAATGGACGGTCTGAGGACACCTTCGTACCAACGGGCCGTTGGCGATCTAGCTACGCGAGCGGGCTTTACTCCTCAGAGCTCCCTTCCATGGTGTCGCCCGCGATGTGCCTACCTGACTTCGGCCTCCCATCGTAAGCAATGCAATCTGCATGAGGAGATTTTCCCAGTTATACTAACTTTAGGCAGTTCAAAAATAGGAATAACAAAGTTTCTTTAAGCTCCTGAAAGCAGTCGCGGTGCCTTGGCATGTAGGGTTCACAAGCGGTGTAAAAAAAAATGAAACCCAAAAACCTTAATTTTGTAGAGAAAACAGTGCCACAATTCCACAGAAACAAGTTTTTGTAACATTTTCAGGTGAGCAAGTGGCAGAAGAAATTTCAATGAAATTCCATTCTAAATATCAGCCAGCGCCAAAGTGCTTTGTGCTCAATATTTTGTTTATTGACCCGGTAATGGCAAAATGAAGATTATGAATACAGTATGAAAAATCCGAACAATAGAGGACATAACTTTCAAGAACCATAATTAATACGATTTTTGTGATCACTAATCTTTTGAAAATTTTTGTCACAGTTGCAAAATGCGTAGTTACGCAATTTAAGTCTTCTTATATGTATTTTCGTAGTCTCAGTTCTTTTTGTCCACGTTGAGAGCTCTGTGAAACATAGCTATGTAAGCAAATCTTGATAATTGCAGTTATGTTCAGCAGTTTTAGCTTTTTCGAGTATAACACCCTTTATTATTCAAAGGCGTTATTAAATCCTTGTAGTATTTTCACTTCTTTCTTCTAGTAAGAGTCTGCATATACAGGATGTTTCTAATTTGGCACTCACCATTGGTATCTTGGAAACTGTAAGGGATACGAAGTCACTTGGGTAGACAACAAAGTGACAGTTATAAGGTTTCGAAATTCAAAGTACTTCCGTAGAGTAACGCAAAAACTGAATTTTCCCAAAATTGTTCTGATTTTTCCTGACTTTATTTATATTGGGATTTTGAAATAAATTGCTCATTAAAAGTGCCACGTTTTCACCTCTACAAGAAGGCATAATCAGAATTTCTATATGACGGTTCGTCTCTTGTCCTCTAGCGTCAACTTTATTATTTCTTAAAGACGCTATATTGAATTTTTGCACCGATGAATAGAGTTTTTAATTTTGATTCAGAAAATGCACAATACGTCATACATTGACGTTGTCAAACGTTGATTACCTTAAGAAAAAGAGAATTTCTTAGGTAGGCTTTGAAATTATCAGATGCTTGTTTCGCTCACCAGATTTATCCCAAAACCACTCTATTTTTTCTCGACTCTATTCGAGGTGGGATTTCAAAATAAATTGCATATTGTCATTGTGACTTATTCTAGTCTGCAAAATGGCGTAGTCAAATTTTCAATTCGACATTTCTTCTTTCGACTTCCATCATCAAACTTGTTTTTACATACGGACACTATATTGGAATTTTGTACATTTAAATGGAATTTTTAAGCGCTAAATTCAGTGATTGTTAGTTGGCCATACATTTATTGTTGGATGAAAATTAAAAGGAGACAACAAGATATGGTGAAACCTGAATACGAAATGAAAATTTTATTGATGGTAATAACAATAATAACCATAAATAAGCAGAGGTATTCACAGCCTCCCAAACTCCATATCCCAATGGTGAGGGTTGAATTTAAAATACCCTGTAGAGGGAAAATATTATGTTCACCGCAGCACAAACAGGAACTCCCTCTCCATGGGCACCCGTGAGAAAAAGCTGTATCACAAAAAATCTCCAGAATTCGTTATTTTGTTTATTTTTTCATAAGCTTTGGGTTGGGCTTACATAGCTAGAATATATAAATACTGTTTGTGCATACAGTTCGAGGCTGGGCGACAAGGGAACAGGAAATAAAAACCCTACTATCAGAGTTTTATTAAAAGTCATTCATAATACTTTGTACATTTCTCATGCATAATCACTGCAGACGTTTATTCAGAATTCCTACTATGTATTTACTTCTTCAACTTGTCATTCGATGTGTGGAATTATATTTCTTCGAATTTATGTTTTTACTTTATATACGACTGAATGGTAATTACTAAGTAAATCTACTTTCTAGAAAGTGTCCATGTTTTCCTCTCTAAAGGAAAATTCTGGCTCATTTGGACAGTTGGACGAAAAATCCTAGATCATTCTGGTTTACAGCAAATGAACCCCCAACTTTTTCAAAATTGTCTACTTCATTTTGAAAATTTTTACATTCGAATAATTATTGTACTTGATTTCGAGGTCTGACAATTTACTGGAAAATTATCTGATTTGACAGTCAGAAGTTTCTGTACGAACAGCCGATTAGTTGTCTGTGATCGGTCTGACCTCCCTTAGCCAACTCGTAACGTTCTCATGTACACAATTAATACAGTCAGCGATGTGTCAGTGACAGCTAACTGCGTAAACTAGGTCATGGCTTGACGCCGACTATCAGTTTGCTGATTGTCAGCAAACAGGCTGTACGAACAAACCAATAATCCTCCAAAAATTTCCCAATGGACACAAAAATCCCTCAAATTTGGGGGAAAATCCCAAAATATGGCAACCCTGAGCATGGATAAAGGTACTTACATTAGAAACTAACAGTTTCAAATCTTCTTCTTCAGTTTCTGTTCCTCCAGCAGTCTGCAGATCACCTCCTCCCAACTCTTTCACTCTATCAGCGTACCTGAGCGTGTTCAAACTGTGTTCACAACTGTTCACACCTGGCGATATCATCGCGATCATACAGGTGCGCGAGTTCGATCCCACGAACGAATCTCTGAGAACTTGCGTTAACTTGCTCACTCTGAAAGGCAGGTGAGCACCCTTGCGACCTAACGCGCGAATGCACTCTTTCAACGCTAACAGGGATTTGTTTATTTCAGCACCTTCCATTCCTAGAACAAAGAAAAACGGCGATTTTAAGGTACGCTTTCATTGCAACAAATTTGCTCCACAATATGCGGGGCGCTATGTGCTGGTACATGTCAGTTTGGTAGAACACGGTGCCAAGCTGGAAACCAAAATTTTTCGGAAGCATTTCGAAATTCTAACCTTCCTACATTTTGTTTATACCGAGGCAGCGCCTTTGACACACGCCTAAATACCAGGGCACCGCGGCTGCTATAGGGAGGTTAAAAAACGTTATCAATCCGATTTTTGAACTGCCTAAGGGTAGTACAGGGTACGTCAGAAAGAACGCATGTTTTTTAAATAAGTAGTACAGTCAAAATAAGTATGGGAAAAAATATATTATATCAAAATACTCAGAAATACATGCCATTTTTTTGAGTAAAACAAAATTTACGTTCTAAAAACTATATCGGCCATATGGCGCCCTTGAGCCGATATGCAGGAATCAAGATTTTCCCGAAATGAGCCCATTGCGTCGGCCAGGATCCGTGCAGGAATTTGGGTTACTTCTATTCTTATTTCCTCCTTCAAATCAACGAGGATCCGAGCTTGCTTTGGTAAACTTTTGATTTCAGGTAGCCCCATAAAAAAATCACACGTTAACAGGTCCGGGGAGTGAGGGGGCCACGGAATATCGCCATGACGTGAAATGAGACGTCCTGGGAATTTTTGGCAAAGAAGTACTATCGAAGTGCGAGCTGTTGCCCCGTCTTGTTGGAACCACACTGTTCTGAGACGGAAACGTCGACGTCGAAGTTCCGGAAAAAAAGTTGTCCAGCATGTGAATGTAACGCTCTGATTTCACAAAAGTTGTTTCTCCATCATCCTCAAAAAAATTCAGGGCCAATAATCGTCGTTGAACCTACTGCACACCAAACTGTAACTTTCGGGGTATGCAGAGGGGGTGCTCATGCAACTGTTGGGGGTTCACTGGAGACCAATATCGACAATTTTGTTTATTGACGGACCCATGTAAATGAAAATGTGCTTAATCACTCATAAACAACGTCATGTCATTGTTATCCAGCTGTTCAATCATGAGTTGTGCAAAATTAACACGTTGTGCATAATCCCATGGCAACAGTTGTTGACAAACTTGGATTTTGTAAGGATGGAACACTAAATCCTTCTTCAAAATGCGACGTACAGAGGATGCGTGGATCCCTAGGGAACTGCCACGCAAACGGATGGAACGATTCGGGCTTTGCAGCGTGTCAACTCTCACTCTGTCTACGCTTTCGGGGGTTCTAACAGTACAGTTTCGCCCTGGCGGTGTTTTCTTCATCACATTACCTGTTGTGTTGAATGCTTCCACCCATCTCAAAATGGTGTTACGGTCTGGTCCCACGACGTGGAACACGAAAGTGAACGCGAAATTCACGTTGCGTTCGAACGACAGACTCGGCATTTTGAAAGTACCGACGTACCGTGAACACACGATGCTCAACGTTCCATCTTGCCAACTGAAACGGCATTTCTCCCACTATCCAACACGCCCTTCCCCACCGACACGGGGCCAGCCCACTCTATGTAGTACCCATTCGAAAAACATGCGCTCTTTCTGACGAACCCTGTAGAACTGGGAGAAGCCTCCTCGTGTAGATTTTTCCACAATCTCGATACACCGCGGACTAAGGAACGATCGTATCGGCCAGTTCTGGATGTTCGAGACGGTTAGAATGAGGCTGGATCTGTCTGGCAGGCACATCCGGTGGCGGCACCATAGAGGAGAGCTCTGAGGAGCAAAGCCCGTTCACGTAGCGGTAGTAGAGAGCTAGATCGCCGTCGGCCCACCTTGTGTATACACTACGTATAGCAGAATTTACGATAGCACATAATATACTTACATTTAGTTATGTCTACGAGGGCGGTCCGATAAGTACTTATACTCATCGATGGCGCCATTATCGCAAGAGATATTTACTATCGTGTAGAACATTCTCGTAGAAGGCCACTGTCATAATTTCTGTGTGGAAGCCGACGTGTCCGCGGATTTTACAATTATGGAAAAGGAGTAATATTGGTCACTGATTCAATTCCCAGGGACCCCAAAAACGGCTGCCATTTGGCGAAGAACAAAGTGTTCTTCCACCTTGACAAGGCACCGGCTCACACTTGCGCCGTCGCCAAGACCAAATTGGTCGAATTAGGCTACGAACTGCTGCTCCATCCACCGTATTCTCCTGATTTGGCCCCGTGCCTACTTTGCAGACCTCCAGAAAACGTGTTTTCAGACGGGTTAAAGAAGCTGGACCAAGTGTATCGAGCTAAAAGGAGACTATGTTGAAATAATAAATGGCCACCTTTCCAAAATTTTCGTTTTTCTTTTTTAGGCTACATATCAAAAAATTGCCACTAAATTCGAATTAATAATTAAAAGTTATCCGCCCGCCCTCGTATATGAAAAATGCCTGGACAATCTGTTTTAAGATTTATATCAAAAACACGGTAGCTTGCGAAATGTCAAACTAGATTTCAATATCGAGTTGCAAGGTATAGTGCATTATCCGGTAAAAAGGGAAAATTTTTTGAAACACCTAGCTTATACAATGCGTTTGGTCACGACATACCGATATTTAAGGGGGGTATTTTTCAGCTATTTTTATCGACAAATCCATCCCCTTACAATGTCCTACCTCACCCCTCTTGAAATGGCATCCATTTTTATTTTTACGTCACGATTACGCTAGTGCATGTATGTAATTTGTAATAACTGAGTACATAAGAGTCACAGAACGATAAATTTGGTGTCAATTGAACAATAGCATGTTGTTCTAGCAATTGTTGAAAAACTTGTATTGATACTAACCGTCAAACATACTTAAAAACAGACAAAACCTGGAAAAAATATGCAAGAAAATTGATTATTTTGTGCATTTCCGCACACCATTCAAAAACTAGTTTGTGCAGTTGTACTTTTTTGTGCTAATTCTACAGCTAACTATGTTATCTACAAAATGACACCAAATTTGTTATCATAAGTCTTCTACGTTAAGTAATAAATGCTATCTAACATGGGTCAAAGTATACATAAAAATGACAAATCAAAGTTTCTTATAAATATACTAAGTGACATATAAATCCGAACACCCAGTTTAAATGGTTTTATCTTAATAAAATTTTGTATAAGTACGTAATGAAGCATAATAAGTAAATGATAAAAATTTCAAAATGATTGCACTAGTTTGAAGCCCTTTGACCTTTAATAATGTGTGGATGCATCCTGATGTGCTACGCATTCTCCAACGCGCCTAGGCATGCTTCTGATCAGGTGGTCAATGTCCTCCTGTGGTATCTCATTCCAGGCAACCACCAACTCCTCTCGAAGTGCTTCTTGAGTCTGAGGAGGACGTTGCAAATTGAGCAATCTCCTACCCATCATATCCGACACGTGCTCAATTGGGGATAAGTCGGGAGATCTTGGTAGCCATGGTAACAATGAGACATCATTATGTTGAAAGAAGCCTATTGTGACTCTTGCAACATGTGATCGGGCATTATCTTGTTGGAAAGTTGGATCTGCCAGGGTGTCAAGACAGGGTAAAAGATGGGGTTCTAGAACTTCGTGGATATAACGCTGCGCGTTCATATTACCTCTGATGAAGATTAAAGGTGCCCTGGAACCATAAGCTATAGCACCCCAAACCATAACTCCAACAGTGTGATGAACATGTCTTTCAACAAAAAAATGTGGATTCCTCCTTTCACCACGTCGCCTTCTAACCCTGGCACGACCATCGTACATGCCTAAACAAAATCGAGACTCGTCACTAAAGACAATACTGTTCCATTTGAGCAATTGTCCGAAAAGAAAGTCCAGCTTCCCGAAGTCCCACTATACGGCCCCTATCAAACTCACTAAGTTGACGAAATCGTACAGGTCTCCGTACTCTAGGCATCGTAACCGATCGTAAAGGATGTCAAGAACCAAAATCCGCCAACGTTGATTCTTTACTGCGGCTGAAATATTCATTTTTAGAGCGTTAGTGAATTAAAAAAAGCAGTATAAAAACCGGAATGTCCAACTGATAAGGCTGAAAATTTTTTCACTTGTTATTTACAGTAAGATAAATACATTCACCAACTTTTATTAAAATAAAACCATTTAAACTGGGTGTTCGGATTTATATGTCACTTAGTTTAGTTCAATGTCACAAAAAATTATATGGACGGACGAAGCAAAATTTACGAGGCAGGGGATCATAAACCATAGAAACAACCACTTGTGGTCTTCGGAAACCGCTCACGCAGGTCGACTGAGCACTTTCCAACAGGAATGTGATGTAAACATGTAGGCCCGAATGATCGACGGAGTTTTAGTCGGCCCAGTTGAGCTACCTACAAGGTTAGATGGCCAGGGATTTTTGGACTTCTCGAGTACCGAGTTTTCAGATCTACGCCACTTATCAACCGCCGCAACATATGGTTGGAGCTCCCACACGCTTTTGCGCTAGAACATTTGGATAGGCAACATTCTCCATGGATAGGACGTGGAGGCACTGTCGCTTGGCCACCCGGATCAGCCGATTTAATGCCCTTAGATTATTTTTTTCTGGGACACAATGAAGCAAAAAGTCTACTGTCATGCGTCGACGACACAGGAAGAGCTCGTAGAAAGGATCCGTACCGCTGCGAACGAAATTAGAGCTGACACGGATATGACCCACTGCTCAACACGACACATTGTTTTAAGAACTACAATGTGCATAACCAATAATGGAGGGCATTTTGAACAGCTTCTGTAACATTAAACATGTCCAAACTATTTATAAGAAACTTTGATTTGTCATTTTTATGTATACTTTGACCCACGTTAGATAGCATTTATTACTTTGTGTCATTTTGTAGATAACATAGTTTAGCAGTAAAATTAGCACAAAAAAGTACAACTTCACAAACTAGTTTTTGAATGGTGTGCGGAAATGCACAAAATAATCAATTTTCTTGCATATTTTTTCTGTTTTTAAGTATGTTTGACGGTCAGTATCAATACAAGTTTTTCAATAATCGCTAGAACAACATGTTATCGCTCAAATGTCACCAAATTTATCATTCTGTGACTCTTATGTTCTCAGTTATTACAATTTTCATACACGCACTAGCGTAATCGTAACGTAAAAATGAAAATGGCTGCCATTTCAAGGGGGGTGAGGTAGGACATTGTAGGGGGGTGGATTTGTCGATAAAAATAGCTGAAAAATACCCCTCTTAAATATCGGTATGTTGTAACCAAACACATTGTATATATTTCTTCTAACCCAAATTTTCGTTTTGCACGTTTTTCGACTTCAACAAAATACAAGGGTTGTTTCAAAAATAAGGTCTCAACGCTCTAACTTTAGCGCGCGTGATGCTAGGCGAAATCTACCAACACCGCCGTGTTTGTCGGCTCCCCCACCACCGATCCCAACAAGAAGCGCCTATTTGCGACGCTCAGTACCGGACTGACAGCCATTGCGCATGGAGCCCTTCATCGCCTTCACCGCCAAATGGGAAATTCGTGCGGTCATCCAAAAACGTCACCACCGATAGAAATTCATCGCAAGTTGAGTGAGGTATATGGGAAAAGGACATCCACGATGAACAACAAAGTGGGAGGCCATCGATCCCCGAGGAAGTTGTGGCTCAGATTGATCAAATCTTGCTCGAAGATAGGCGGTGCACGATCCGGGAACAGGCGGTTGAAATTTCTGAAGCTTCTGAAAAAGCTGAGACAGGAAATCCAAAATACTGCACCAAAACAATGCGTATCCTCGTGTCTAAAAAAAAAACGAAGGGCTTAATCGAGCGATTTGGCTGGGAAGTCATTGCCCATCCCCCTCACAGCCCTGACATAGGATTTCCTAAATGGAAGGAGCACCTAGGTGGTCAACGGTTCGAGACGGACGAGGAGTTGTAAGAAGCAGTTACCAAGTTTCTAAACGGGCCGGCGGCGGACTTCTTTGAGGCGAAAATGCAAACGTGGATTACACGTCCAAAAACAAGCTTAAAAAAATGGCGACAATGTAGACAATGTAGAATAGCTTAAAGATCAACGTTTCCAAAGAAAAAATTCCTTGTGTCTGAAAAAAATGAGGGAACCATATTTTTGAAACAACCCTCGTATATGGGAGTCTATTCTCGACGCTTCACATCCACGCGAATGAAAAATACTATTACTTACTGGTTTGTCTATTAGCTGAAGAAGTATCTGCTCCTCGTTCATTTCCTGCCAAGTCGATCAGTGAGAACTTTCCGTGTATCTTCGACATACTGTTTTGTGCCCTCAGAAATATCTGAAATACTGCGTGAGACCTCGAAGAATTTTGATTCGCAAACGTTTGACCTGATGTACGTGCTTGATTTCCCTTTTGGATCAGTTTGAGTACCTGCAAATCAAAAAGATATAATAATATTAATAAAATGTCTTTGTTAGAATCAAATCAAAAGGGCGAAGTTTAGCTACTCTTTCACCCAACCCTATTGTGTGAGGAAATATGTACGTACAATACAAAATGAGATACATGCCAACCTTAAAATGAATACATCGATGATATTCAACTGAGTGAACTAATAAAAAAAGAAAAGACGTATTCAATTGACAAATCCAGGATATATTGGTTTACCAACAAAAGAACCAGATGAGAATTAATAATGAATAGATGAAAACACAAAAGAAAAAACATAAAGAAAAATATCATAACAACTAATCACAACAGATCTAACAGATGATTTTCAACCAGCTTCCTGAATGTTATAACACTTTTGCTTCTCCAAGCAGGGTCGGTTGAGTTATACAACCTTACTGCATTGAAAGTAAAACATTTTTGGAACAATGTAGTCCAAAGGCAGTGTAAAGTTATTATTATCCCTCAGATCTCTAAAATTAATGATTCCTCTATCAGTTTACGATGGAGATCAACAGGCACAAATACCTCAAGATTACATTCAAAGTGTTGATCTATTTTCAGCCATTTCAACTCCTTGATTTCCGAGGAGACACGAATATATTTTCGAAGACCACTCACAAACCTACAGCAGTTGTTTTGCATACATTGGAACCTACACCGATTCATCGAGTCAAGACGAGGATAATATAAAGTTAAAGCATAGTTAAGACTGGCCATTCTCAAACTTTCAACTAGCTTCTAACGCGTTTTCAAGTTCAAAATAAATCTATTAGCATATAGTAGTCTTAATTTGATATAGGTGTTTTTCGATGGATGACACATATTTGTCAAATCTTAAACTAGAGTCGAAGATGACACCAAGATTGTTTGCTTGTTCCACAACAGGAATGAGCTCATTGTTGATGCTCAATGCAATACTGTCCCTTACTCTATTATATAAGTACTTAGGATAAAAGAGCATGCAAGTACTCTTATACGGATTAATCTTCAACATGTGTCTCTGACAAAATTTTGTGATTAACCGTGTCTAACGCCTTAGAGAAGTCAATCATCACTAAAAGTGTATTAATATGTTTATCCATATTATTTAAGATATTGTCTGTCCAATAGAGTAGTGAAGAAGTTGTACTGTGCCCAGCACGAAATCCAGACTGATGGACAGAGAGCAAATTGTTCATCTCTACGTATTCACTTAGTTGAAGATAAACAACCTTTTCTAATATCTTTGAAAGAAACATAGTATGCTGATAGGTCGTAAATGATCAAGGGTTATCGGATTTTCTATTTTGGCCAGAGGAAGGATTATTGCTTCTTTCCAGACATCAAAAAGACTCCCAGTTTCCAAACATATATTAACAATATATCATTCACTACGTAAAAAATGTTAAGTAGATCAACTTCCCACGTGATTCTGTTATTACTTAGATCATGTTTGGTTTATTTACGATTCATAAGTGATTGTATGTGAGTTGCAGAGACCAACTACTTCAAAGTTTATTCAAAGTACTGCTACGTTAAATTTACTAATATACACAAAATAACTACCACAAACGGCACTTATAGGAATCTCCTCCTGACCAGGGTAAACGTCACTCTAACGCCAGTTTTAGGTGAAATTTCGAAAAAGCATTTCAGCATATTGTGAGTTCAGTAGGAAATCAGGCATCAGGCATTATTGTCATGTTTGAAGGTTTTTGGAGTCGCTGAGACCAAATCTGAGGGCGGTTTTTCCAAATCAGGTCATTTGATTGGCGTTTCGACATTACTCTAAGCTCAAATTGAGCAAATGCCGGGAACTCAAATCTACTATACCTGCATGTACGTTTCTGCGGTTGCCGAGTCCGAATCTGAGATCAGCTTGTCATTTGAATTGCGTTTTGAAGTCACTTCAGGGTCAAAATGCCGGGAAATGGGTACACGGTTTTTCGAGATGTATACTCGAGTCCTTGGGACTTTTTGTTCTCGAGGTTGAAAAATCACCTCAAGGGAACTCATTTTGGGACAATCAAAAACATTCAACGGCTGTAACCGACCAGCTGAAGCCTATTCCAGTATGAGTTCCAGCAGTGCTATGAGGAGTGGAAGAACCATCTCCAGCGCTGCACTGCTTCAGAAGGAAGTCGTTTCATGTACTACTACTGATAAAGGCGTTATTATTATTTGAGGGTGACAATATAAGATTGCAATTGAATTTGAATAAAAAAAAATCAGTCTCATCAATTTACAGACCTCATACTAATGTAGAAAATTGAGATATAACCTCCTCCACCTCCTAATTTTTTTTTTAAATTATAAGAATCCTCTGAAGCGCCAAAAAAACAAAGTAATTTTTATTTCTTTCGTTTTTGACCCTAGTAGTAACCTTGTTTCGTCCGCTGATGCCCCCCCCCCACGGAAAAAAAATGGAAATTTTCACATATAGCGTGGAAAGTCCTAACTCTCAAACTTCAGTGATTTATTACAATCAAAAGCATTTCGTTACCAATAGCGTTTCGGCATATATCTGTTTCAAGAAATTGGCCAATTCATTGAAAACTAAACGTCACAGGTGTAGCTATACCAACCTTACGAACATCTACTATGGGAATTAGTACTTTTCTTAATCACTCTATTTTGACATCCTACTTCTTGTTTTTTCAATTCAAACGACCCAAAATCGCCAGGTCTCGGGGTATGTTTATACTAAATCCAATTTCTTACCTCATCTGTGCTGCAGACAACCTTTTCAACCAATCCGACGACTTGAACCTGCTGTTTGCCATCTTCGAGTATCCTAAGCTTAGCCTTGTTATTGAGCAGATCGAATACTTTTCCAGAATATATTTCAAAAAAGCTTGCCGATACGACCAAATTCAGTTTTCGATACTTGGGCGAGTTAACTAATTGGAAAACATCACCCGCCGCCATTGCGTAAATGCCTTTTCCACATTCTTGGACCTTCCCGTTGAAATCACCACCCATAGTGTGAGTTTTGCCCGACCCAGTTTGCCCGTACGCAAAGCAAGTGGCAAAACCACCTTCGAATATTGTCTTGATTAAAGGTTGTGCGGTATACCTGTAACAAAATCATACAGGGTGTTTCAGAAAGACCTGCCAATATTTCTACGGTAGAAACTACATGAAAAAATGATAAAAAAGTCCCTATAAACATGGGACCATAGATGCTCCACTACCGAGATACAGGGTGATGAGGTTTTGAGCACATCATCAGCAATAAACACACAGTTTCCCGGCCCAAATTAAACCAGAGACGTAGAAACTGGGGTACCTGGACCCCCTTAGTAGTAGAAAATATTTTCTACGCCACTGGCCTTTTCAATAGTATAGTTGTAGTTACCGTTCTTGGCAGTTACGTCAACAACGACATATGAAATAGGTAAACAGATCGAGTCTCCGTACCATGGGCGGAACTTAACCTTCAGCGCATCTGCTACTCTCTCCAGTATGGAAGAAGTGGGTAACAGGTGCCCGCTGTTTTCATTCTCTTCCTGGAAATACTCTAATGAATTTAGCACGAGCTGTCGGCTTTTTCCATTAAACGTATTTCCGGGCATTGTACAATTTTATATTGAAGATTGATAACAAGACAACTGAAGGGACTATTTCGAAAATTATTAGTAAATATCAAGGCCAGGTGCGGAAGACCGAAAAAAACTGATTATGTTTTGGATCGCTACATTAAACGTTTGTCCCATGAAGATACTCGAATGCCAGCTCACAGATTTTCAAAAGAATCGTAGAAGAGGGTGCCGAGAATATTTCTGTCAGAACAGTGCAGAGACGCTTGGTGAAATTTGGAGTTTTTTGTAGGCGTCCAGTGCAAAAGCATCTCATTTAGAAAAAATCGTATTGCTAAGCTTGAATTTGATAAAACTCATCTAACTTGGACAGAACAACAATGGAATACAGTTTTATGGAGCGATGAAAGCAAATTTTACTTGTTTGGATCTGACGGTACGGCATATGTGAGACGTCCGATACGAAAAAGATTCGACAAAAGTATCAGTTGCCAACGGTGGAGCCAATATCATGGTTTGGGGATGTTTTTCTAGTTCTGGAACGGGCCCAATTGTTAAAAGTGTTGGGAAGTGGATCAAAAACTTTACAAAGATATTCTTAATGAACACATGCTCCTTTTTCTGAAGAAGGAATGCCTATACGATGGACATTCCAGGAAGATAATGACCACAAGCATACCTCAAAATTCGTAAAGGACTGATTAATACTAAAAAATGTTAATCTTCTTACATGGCTTTAGCAATCCCCGGACCTAAGCCATATAGAAGAACATCTCTGGGAGCATGTTAAGACAACTGACAAGAAACACTTTTAAAAATAGGAACGATTTATTTGATTATGTGAAAAATCTTTTGCAAAATATTCAAACAGAGGTCTGTAAAAAATTGTTGTCTTTTATGAGCAGCAGATGTCAGGCAGTGTTGAATGCTAAAGGCTACGCTACCAAATATTAGCTAAACAGAGTTTTTCAAATCTTTTTGTAGAGTTATTGTATTTAATTTTGTAATAAAAAACATGTTTCCAAACTTTTGTCGTCTCATTTTTGGTCATCAAATAATATAAAGGTATTTTAAGGCTAGTCTGCAGTACCACAGCAAACACAAATTGTCATTTGTATCCTCAAGACTGTCAGCAAACTAAAGTTAGAAAAAAATAGTCATTAATAATAAAAAATACAAAATTAAAGCACTTTTTAAAAATTACTAAGAATGTTTCCAAACTTTTGTCCGCTATTGTATGTACATACTTTGTATTTATCTAAGGGTAACAATCCTTTTTTTCTTAAGTTTAAAGTTTTTTGTTTATTTTAAAAACATTTAGATATATATTTCATCATCCTGTATCTCTGCAGGGGAGCATCTCTGGACTCATATTTATGGGCTTTTTTCTACCCTAGAAATATTTGCACGTCTTTCTGAAACAGTCAACAGTATACAACTAGCTGTTGACCGTTTCTTCGTACACGTTAAATTGTTACTCGCATATAACATTATTTACAAGTATTGCTAGGAATGCATTGCATTAGTAATTTCACAGTCAACTTGCATGGAGAAATTTGGTTATTTTATTAATTTATTTAAATTAGCTTTATTAAATTAAACTAAATTTCACAGAGATTTCGTTGTCAATAGTAGAGCAACCTTGTGGAAAATCAGTACTTATTTTTTCATCAACCCTACTTTAATAGCTTATTTCTTATTGAGGCACTCAACACTCGCGATGCACGAGTTTTTATCCCCGATTATACACATTACTTGGATCTTTCGCGAAGAAAATTATTCACTTCAGTTATACAAGAGTTAAATACAGTTGGAACTTACCTGTACACCAGTTCGTTTGAGCATGTTTCATCAAAAGCGTAATCGAATCTAAATAGCTGATTCTCCAGATATTTAGTAAGATCCACCTTGTTTTTGGGTTCGTGTACGATAAGCTGATTTTTGCTTGGTATGGTTATCACATCTACTTCCTTTCGCTGTACTTCTTTTTTGTTCAAAGGCCTTTTCCTAACACAAACCGTGATCAGATGATCTTCTATGGCGTCGTTTTCGGTTAACGGCTTTATGTCCAGTTGACGTCGATACTCCCTGAAAAAAATATATATATACACAATGTGTTTGGTCACAACATACCGATATTGAAGGGGTGTATTGTTCAGGCATTTTTATCGACAAAGCCACCCCCTACAATGTCCTACCTCACCCCTCTTGAAATGGAAGCCACTTTTATTTTTACGTAACGATTACGCTAGTGCATGTAAGAAAATTGTAATAACTGAGTACATAAGTGTCACAGAATGATAAATTTAGTGTCATTTGAACGATTACGTGTTGCCCTGGCGATTATTGAAAAACTTGAATTGATACTAACCGTCAAACATACTTAAAAACAGACAAAAACAGAAAAAACATACAAGAAAATTGATTATTTTGTGCATTTCCGCACATCATTCAAAAACTAGCATGTGAAGTTGTACTTTTTTGTGCTAATTCTACAGCAAATTTATTATTAAGTCTTCTACGTGAAGTAATAGATGCTATCTAACATTGGTCAAAATGGGTGTAATAAAATGCAAATTGCTTTCAAACGTAAAAATGACAAATCAATTTTTCTCATGAAGAGTTTGGACATGTTCAATGTAACAGAAGCTGTACAAAATGTCCTCCATTATTGGTTATGTACATTGTTGCTCTTAAAACCATGTGTCGTGTTGAGCGGCGGACTATATCCGTGTCAGCTCTAATTTCGTTCGCAGCGGTATGGATCCTTTCCACGAGCTCTTTCCATGTCGCCGACACATGACAGTACATTTTTGGCTTCATTGCGCCCCAGAAAAAATAATCTAGGGGCATTAAATCGGGTGATCGGGTGGCCAAGCGACAGTGCTTCCACGACCTGTCCATGGGGAATGTTGCCCATCCAAATGTTCTCGTACAATTCGCGCAAAGTGTACGGGAGCTCCGTCATGCTGCAACCTCGTGTTGCGGCGGTTGATAATGACAGATCATGGAGTAGATCTGCAAGCTCGGTCCTCAAGAACTCCAAAAATCCCTGGGCATCTAACCTTGGAGATAGCTCAACTGGGCCGATTGAGACTCCGTTTCCTGTTGGAAAGTGCTCGGTCGAACTGTATAAGGGTTTTCCGAAGATCACAATTGGTCGTTTCTATGGTTTATGATCCTCTGCTTCGTAAATTTTGCTTAGTCCATCCACAGAATGTTTTCCCAAAAGTTGCAGTCTTGACGCAGCTGCTGTTGAAACCAGGTGCAAACTATGATAAGGGATGTAAACCTTCTCTCTTAAGGACTCTCCAAGCCGACCGATGTGACAAGTGTAGTCTTGCAGTGATCCTCCTCTCACACTCTCTCGGATTTCGGATAATCATGTTGAGAATCTCTTCTTCATCTTATGGAGACAGTAGCCGATAACGGTTGTTTGAATCCCATTTTCCGCTAGTCTCAGGTATGTTCAGACAAAAGTCCTAACATTTTGCGTAATTGGGTCAGGAAATCGTCTTCGATATTTTCTCACAGCAACTGCGGCAATTTCCATTCCAAAAGCCGTAGACAAACACCATATCAGCAGCATGGTGATTTGAAAATTTATTACGTGGACGATTTGGCACCTCCAACTCAAATAGGTTCAGAAAATTGATATTGAAACTAGTCAGCAATGGTAACAAAATGGACGTTGATCACAACGCGTGGCGAGGGACTACAAAACACTCACTATGAAATTGACAACAAATAACCGGTTGTTACCATCTCGATAACGAGACCTTTCGGTAGATGTTGTCTCATTCACGCTCTCAATACATTCATCTCTATACCAGGAATGTTGGAGTACGTCCGCTACCTAAATCGGAGAGGTTTGTCAAGGGTCATGTTTAAGCAATATTTGTATTTAAAATAACTAACATAGGAAAAGAAATTTAGTGTCATTTTGTAGATAACACAGTTAGCTGTAGAATTAGCACAAAAAAGTACAACTTCACAGACTAGTTTTTGAATGGTGTCCGGAAATGCACAAAATAATCAATTTTCTTGCATGTTTTCTTCTGTTTTAGTCTGGTTTTAAGTATGCTTGACGGTTAGTATCAATACAAGTTTTTCAATAATCGCTAGGACAACACGTTATCATTCAAATTACACCAAATTTATCATTCTGTGACACGTATGTTCTCGGTTATTTCAATTTTTTACATGCACTAGCGTAATCGTAACGTAAAAATAAAAATGGCTGCCATTTCAAGGGTGGTGAGGTAGGACATTGTAGGGGGGTGGATCTGTCGGTGAAAATAGTTGAAAAATACCCCCCCCCCTGAAATATCGGTATGTCGTGACCAAGCACACTATATAAAAAATACTTAAGGAAATAAACACACAGGCCACATATATGTCTCTTTTTTGTGTATCTTCCACGTTAATTCCGGAGACCGACGAATTTGATTGTTATTAACGTAGGCCCCATAAAGATGGCCAACCCTATGGTTTATTTGGACGTTCACATAATTCCAATCATCATAGCCATTTTGCCAAGAACAGGGATGCAGTACCAAAACAGCAAGAAATGGTGGGTTTATACATGAAAGTGCCACACATGGCGGATTTCTAAGGCGGGGCCAGATGGAGTCCGTGTGACGTCTCTCATTTACCCCATATCCCCATATAGACCCAGGAAGTACCACCGAGTATTTAGCCCTTAGGCCTGCGTTGTGGCTGGAATATTAAAATATGCTAAGAGTTTGTAAACTTACATAATCATGTTGAGGAGTTCCCAGTGTGGATTGCCCGGAGCCATTTGCAAAAACGCCTCTTTTTCTGCCTTTTCTTCAGCTTGTTTTTGCCGCCTTTCTTCTCTGTTCTTTTTCAATTTTTCTACTTCTTTAACGACATTTGTCCTCCTAGTATTCTGAGGATGACTTCGTGTTGCCGGTGTAGCCTGAAGTAGGCTAGCCTATTAAATTGAGTCAGTTGAGTTTGAAATTTAAATACTATACCGGGTGTTTCAAGTTCTATTGGGATGTCGGAAACGGTGAGACAGAAAAACCGAGTTTTCCCAAAATCGTTTCAATTTTTTCCACTTTATTTGTAGTGAGATTTTCATAATAAATTGCACATTAAGACTGCCATTGCCATAATCAAAATTCTAATATGAGGTTTCGTCTGTTATCCTCCAGTACCAACTTTATTTTTTATTATGGACGCCATAATGGATTATATTCCAAAAATGTACAATAAGTCATTCATTGGCATTACCAAACCTTGGTTATTTCAAAAAAAGCAGAATATCCTAGATAGGCATTGAAATTATCAGATAGTCATTTGTTTTGCATATCAGATTTATACCGAAATAATTTTTATTTTTTCGTGACTTTATTTGAGATGGGATTTAATAAATAATAGTTAAAAAAAAACTAAACGGAAACACGCTTTTATAGCTAATCGAACTAAAAGGTAGAAAATAATTTTTAATTACAAAGAGTTTATCAGTAGTAGATGATTGAACAATCAATCATAATTAATGACCTCAAAATAAAATCATAATAAAATTTAGTTAGAGAGAATAATTCAATTCAGAGAAAAAGCATGCGGTGCTTGATATATTAAATGTTACAATCATTCTATTTGCAACTATCCATGAGAGGAGAGTTATGAATTACATATTCTGTTAATAACTTCAATTTTATTTTGAGGTCATTAATTATGATTGATTGTTCGACCATCTATTACTGTAATATAAACTCTTGTAATTAAAAATTATTTTCTACTTTTTTTCGGTTAGCTATAAAAGCGTGTTTTTGTTTTTGAAAGTATTATTTATTTTTCATTTTTTAGTTCGATTTATCAATTAGTTTATTGTGGACATGTGGTATTGAAATGTCTCACGAATCATTTTGTAATTTAACCATTTCATTTAAAGCTTCACTGTTGCATGGGTTTTTTCCCTGTTAACTTAGAGCTATCAAGTTGTCCAATCCGAATACCGTCTAAAGATCTTACACGATTAAGTGCTACATAAGCTTGTCCAGCAGCAAACAGCCGCGAGCCTAGATAAATGACTGCATGATCGACTGTACAACCTTGCATCTTGTGGACGGTCCATCTCAGGATTAATGGCAACATTCGCAACGAACAAGGTGAGAGTGCACTTCCTTGAAAAAGTATCTGCCTGCGTTGCGCTGTGCCGAGTGCCCGAAACTACACGCATGCGCAGATCGTGCACTTGCTCTATCTCTTACTCTCCTACAGAGGATCTATAAAAGAATTTAGCAATCCTAGAGCTCCTAATAAGGATAATGAAAAACTGTTATCAAATTATAGCAATTTAATCAAAACAGGAAATTGATGAAAATTATGCTCAAAGATTCCGTCACATACATACAGACCAAGCTAATGAGAGCGTGTTAAAAAAAGTTGCATGTTGTCATTGTAACTTATTCTCCTTTACAAGATGGCGTAGTCAAATTTTCAATTCGAAGTTTCTTCATCCATCACCAACTTTGTCTTTTCATTAAGAACGTTATATTTAGTAGTAGTTTGTACATTTAAATGGACTTTTCAGTCCGAAATTGAGTGATGTATTTCCTTAATTGGCCATGTATTTGTTGTTGGATGAAAATTATAACCAAATATAAAAAGGTATGGTAAGACCTGAACATAAAATTTAAATTTTGCTGATGGTTGAAAATGTGTCTATAATTTTGCTGGCAAAGTCTGACCCTTCTTTCTATGTACATTGCAAATTATGTTTTTCTGGAACAAAGTTTTGGCAATGTCATTGTATGGCATATTATACATACATTTTTGGAATCAAAATTGAAAACTCTATTTAATTGCGCAAAAATCCAATATGGCGTCCGTAATAAAAAATAAAGTTGATGGGGGAGGACAAGAGAGGAAACGTCATATTGAAATTCTAATTATGCCATCTTGTAGAGGAGAAAAAGTTGCAATGTTAATGTGCAATTTATTTTGAAATTCCACTACAAATAAAGCCAGGAGAAAATTAAAACGATTTTGGGAAAATTCGTTTTTTCCGTCTCTCTCCTGAAGTACTTTGAATTTATTTCTAAGCGACATTTTGTTTATTACCTAAATACGCAACTTTACCCCCATATAAGCGACTTCGTATCTCCTACAGTTTCCGAGATCCCAATGGTGAGGGTCGAAGTTGAAACACCCTATATATATACAGAGTGACTTCGAAGTTTAGTCATTTATTTTAACAGTGAGTAGATCTGATCAAAAGAAATGTTTTTTCCTTTAAAATTTTTGTGGTAAAATTAAAGTAACAAAGTTATAGCCCTTTAGAAGTTTGAGTTCCGCCCTGTCTCAATAATAATATTATGTGCTCGTGTTTGGCAACAACGGATATAATCCGCCTTATCGGTTCATCGCATCGGAAACAAAAAAGCGAAAGAATTTGAAACGCTTATCACGATGTTTTTACTACAATTTTATTCAGTTGTATTCAGTTAATGTGTCAGTCGGTAACGCGTGAGCGAATAATGGTGTTTACGGGGGGGGGGGGTCTTTACAAAATGCTGCCGCGGCATCACGGATTTATGCGGATCGGTTTCCCAATCGAGTGCAAGCAACCCCTCGTGCCTTTGTTAATGTAGTACAAAGGGCTCGTGAATCAGGTGACTTAAGACCTCACAGGGGAGGGCATGCCGGTGCTCCAAGACCGCAGGATCAAATACAGGTCCGCAGTGAAATACTTGTCGGGAGGATACTTTATAAAACAAGGTAACATTTTTTTTTATTTTTACACACATATTTTGGTTTATCTTCCTTCTACAATCATTATCTGAAAATTAATGACTCAACTTCAAAGTCACCCCCAGTAAAACTAAATTTTTTAGACAAACAAGGTAAAATCTTTCTAATCTGTTCGATAATTTGTTGGCTGTTTCTCACTCGTTTTCGAAATCTGAAGTTTGGTTGTCAAACAGACATGATGAAATCAACATAATACAACATAATTTAATTCACCTGGGTGTTTTTTATCACTATTTTATTCACCCAGGGCGAAAAAAGCTCCTTCTCAAAGGGACATTACGTGCAATAATAATAATTTCACTAAATAATAGTAAAAAAATACTCACATTGCTTCGGTAGGTCGGTATACTGCTTTCTTTGGATTCAAATGTCGAAATTGTATGCCCGTTATGTGTTGCGATGATCCCCAAAGCTGTCGGATGTACCGCTCTCGGTGCTGCACCTGGAATATATTCCTTTGATGCATCCCATCAACAAAATCAAAATTCATGTCTTATTTCTCTTATTAGGATTTTTAATAAGTTCTATCTGTTGCAATACCCTGTATCTTATATATTTTTAATTGAAAATCGTTTAAACGGAGCGAGTTTTTAGTGTTGTAATCAGTCCATAGTTCCGTTATTATGAACATATTTCTTTGCAAAGATTACTTATATGCCTCTATAAACAGGGTGATTCATAAATACGTGGAAGCATAAACATGCATTTTTTCACAGATATACTCGGTATATTTTAATATATTCGAGAGGCCTCTCCAAACAATACTATTAGATTTGGATCGCTAATTCTAGGGCAAGAGGATATTTTGTCCGGAAAAACACTTAAATTTGACAGCTTGTAAGTCTGATAGAATGAAAAATAAATGTACTTTTTCTTAAAGAATTAAAATGCAACACCCTATATATTTTTACGATTTTGGGTTGTTTTTTTTCAAGCTTCATTTTGGTATAAAATTCTTGGTCAAATTACTAATGTGAATTTCCGGAAATTACAGTTCAAGAATATATATCACATTATTCGTGGAGATTTTTAGTGGATAGGAGCTAATTTCAAAAATTTAATAATTTAACCCTCAAAAAATTGTACACCAAAACAAAACTTATTAAAAAGTTAACCAAAAAACGTATACATATAAACGGTATTCTAGTGAAAAATTGCTTCTTTTTTGTATGCAAAAAAACGGTTATGACCTCTGCTGTCTTGATTCGGGTCTAAAGGCCGTCATCGCATGGAATGTCTTCCTACCGTTTCGCTGGTACGAGTGGCAAGCTTCTTTAGAGGTCCTTCCATTTCCGATGCTGGATGTAGACTGTCTACATCCAGTTTTTTTTTGCCGTTGAAACTATAAATATGCATTTAAACCAAAAATATGCCTTTTGTTATTAGCATTACTTACAATTTAGCGATATTTTGTAATATTTTCAAAAATGGAGATTTCATTCGGATGAATAAAAAAGAAATGCAGAAAAATTTGTTTAAAAAAATACAAATTTAAGGGATTTCCGTATAAAATTTTCTTTGGCCTAAATTTTAGATTAGAAACATGATATCGAGATGCGGCTTTCGAAAGGTTGCTTAGACATCATTTAGCTACTTTTTTATAAAAAAAATCATATCAATGCACTCCATTTTTTCAGAGAAAATTAAAGATTTCTGTCGGGGTGTCGAATCCCTCTAACGGCCGCATGTGAAACTAACAAAACTTCAAATATTGTAATATTTGTAGCCCAATAGCTCTTTTCAACTAGCCCAAGTTTGTTAAAATCGGCTCAGCCGTATCGAAGATACAGGGTGTTCTTACAGAAACCTCCGAATACCCCCACCGCCTTATTTTTAGAGATACAGCAAAAATTGTCAAACAAAAAAGTTTACATTATCCTCGACTTTTTGCTAAGTCACTTTTTTAGATTCAAGTTTTTTTTATATATATCGAAGCAGTTGCGCAGGCAGAAGCCCAAAATGCCGGAACATCGCGGCCACTATGATGATCCCAAAGAAATTTTGTTAATACGATTTTTGAACTGCCTAAGGCTAGTAGAACTGGGAAAAGCTTCCTCTTGTAGATTGTTCCACAATCTCGACACCCTCGAGACAAAGGAGCGGTCGTATCTGCCAGTTCCGGATGTACGAAGTTCGACACGGTTAGGATCGTCAGGCTGGTCTGTCTGGCAGGCACATCGCGCCGCGGCATCATGGAGGAGAGCTCTGATGAGCAAAGCCCGTTCGTCTAGCGCTAGAGGAGAGCTAGATCGCCGACGGCCCGCCGGTGCGTTGGTACCGGAAACCATACTGCCTGTCGCTAATCAAGCTGTGACGTTCCAGGTAGTCCAGAAGCCCGCGATTTATGCACCTCTTTATCACCTTAATTATAACAGAAAGCAGAGCTATAGGTCTTTAGTTGTAAGCGTCGGTCTTAGATCCTTTTTTGGGATGGGTTGGATATGAGCAAATTTCCGGAAGGAGCCGGATTCATAAGATATCTGGAAGAGACGGAAAGAACTGGAGCAATCTCCGCTGCACACCTCTTCAGTACAATGGGAGGAATCAAGTCCGGACCAGAAGCTGTGTTGATGTTGAGCGATAAGATCACTCGTCTTACGGTCTTATGCCTGAATCTTACCTCCCGCATAGTGTAGGGAACCCTTTGAATTGACGGCGCTTGGGCGTTGGGGGGGACGTCTATGGTGGAGTTGGCAGCAAAGATCTTGGCTAGCACTTCCGCCTTGGCCTTTGAGTCGAATACAATAGTACCATCCTGACACGTAAGTGGTGAAAAGCTACTGTGTGAGAAGTTCTTTTCAATCTGCTTGGCCAGCGTCCAGAAAGACCGACTGCCATTGCGCTGCGACATTACCCTGTGCCTAACTTTTATATCGTGCTGGTTTTTGGCATTGGGAACCGCTTCGTTATATTTGTTTCTGGACTCGACGTCGGCTTGTCTGTTCTCTACAGTGGGGTTTTTTAAGAAGGTTCTGTGTGCCTTGATCTTCTGCTGTACCCCTACTGAGCGGGGCCGTGGCAAATGATTGTTCCGGAAGTTGTTGTACCCAGTATACAACTTCTTCCCGTTCAAGTGATTGTACACGCGTTAAGGAATACCTCAGTAGCGATTGCCGGGTGGCGGTACAAGTCCGCCAACGGGCTACTTTAGGTGTATTTAATATCACTAACACGTAAAAAGAAGGTGGTAGACAAGGACCAGTCGACCGAGGCGGTACCACTCGCTAGCTTTTCCCAGAGTGTCTTATAAATGTCCGCATGTTTCCACACCTAAGCTATGCAGTCGGTTATCTCCCAAAACAAAGAAATTAATGACGATGGATCCCTCGAGCACCAAGAACTCCAGACGTAAACTCACTCCACTCTCGGAATGTCCGGGTGGAGGGTGGTCTCGAGGGAACAACATCGAAGATAAAATTTGTTTTTCGAACATCTGCGGGATTAACAGCAACATTGATGCTGTTCATCACTACCTGCAATCCAATCGTCCCGCCATGCTTTTCTTGACGGAGACAAAAATCTCAGAGTCTGCACCGAGTTGTGGCTTTTGTCCGCAGCAGTCTTCCCTGCTCCAGATATGTTTCTTTGGAATCAGACCGGCAGGACATTCTGTGGATTCGCCTCAACTCCAAAACATCACCCAAATTTATTTGCTGCCTTTATCGCTCTCCCTCGGACCATAACTGGGATGACCTACTCGAATACCTCGTCGTCCAGATCGACTTCCTGAACATCAATCATCATGCTTCAGAGGTAGTTCTTCTCGGTGATTGCAATGCCCATAATGAGCTTTGGTTGGGCTCAAACAAGACCGATGCAGCAGGTTGGTGCAGTCGAAGCGTTCGCTCTAACTCAAGGGCTGACCCAGCTGGTGACAAGCCCTACTTTTTTCCCCCGCGTCTCGTCACACGCCAGTAGCCTGCTGGATCTCTTTCTGACCACGCATCCTTTCCCTTACAGCACTTCTGTCCTGTCCCCCCTGGGTAACCCAGACCACGGTGTTGGGGAGGTTAGGTTTCGGTCAGAACCCGCTGTTGCAGCAGAAACTCGGACAGGCCGCAAAACTTGGCATTACGGAGATGCCGACTGGGAGGGGCTCAGAGACTTCTCTAGCTTTCCTTGGAGAGATGTCTGTTTCACTGACGCGGATGCGTCGGCTGTCTGTTTTTCGATAACAGAAATTATCCACGTCGGAATGGAGGAATACATCCCTCACACAGTGAAATTGCCAAGATTGCAGTTACGCCCCCTAGCGGCCATTTCAGTAACTCGAAAATATTTTCCAGGTGAGAACTTTTTTGTCGCAAGCCTGGATCGGTTCCCAGATACAGTACCTCGTATTCTTAGTTGGCCACCAGTATTAGAATAGATTCAAAAACAGTTCATTTCAAATCAAATCAGTGCATCATGGGTGACTCGGATTATGCAAGGATATGTTTACAAAAAGATCGGTTTCGCACAATAACAGTAATATAAAGCGTGTTCCGATTACTTTCTGGTTTTGTATACAGGGTGTAAACGTTATGATAGTCATTATTTAAATGGGTGATAGAGGGGGTTAAAGGAAGCAAAAATTTTCATATAACATGGGGGTCAAAACGGCATTTTTTTTAGAGAAAAGCGACTTTAAGCTTCATTACGACGAACCCAGTTTCTTCTTACTCTAGGTCCTCGAAATTGTCAATTTATTATTCCAGCCGCATTAAAAATTTTTTCGCGAAGTTGTGCTTCTGTTGTTATTGGACCAGCCCCATAAACCATCCCTTTAAGTTCTCCCCAATACCAGAAATCCATCGGATTGAGGTCAGGAGATCTTGCTGGCCATTTTCGAGGATCAGGAGCATTTCGACCGATCCAGCGATTTGGATAATGCTCATTCAAATACTGAATCACGCCTCTAAAAATGTGTGGTGGTGCCCCGTCATGAAGGAACCACAAATTCTGTCTCCGTTGTAATGGCTTGTTGTCTAAGGTCTGTTCCAAAAATTCTGGTAGGTTATTGGCTAGAAAGCTAAGGTACCCTTCTCCTGACAACTTTGGGGGTAACTCAAAAGGGCCAATTACCTGATCGTCAAGAATACCCGTCCAAATATTTATTTTAAAACGTTGTTGGAAATGACCTTCACGAATGGTATGCGGATTTTCTTGGGCCCACGTGTGAGTATTATGGAAATTTAATATACCGTCTCGCGTACAAGTACATTCGTCCGTCGCTAGAATGTTTTTAATAAAATCAGGATTTTCAATGTTTTTGTGCAAAAACCACTGACAGAATGTTAGTCTGCGAGGATAGTCTTCTGGTAACAAGGCCTGCACTCGTTTTACATGGTAGGGATAGAGCAAATTTCCCCGTAGGATTCTATGGAGTATGGTATGCGATACTCCTACGCGGCGGCCTAATTCCCGAGTGCTGATATCTGCAGTGATTTCCACGATATTTAAAATTTGTTCCTCCTGCTCTACCTGTCTTTCACGAGTGCGAATATTAGTGGGCTGCACACTTCCTGTATCTCGAAGTCTTTGTTACACTTGCACAAATGTCCTTCTGTCTAGGTGTACCCGTTGGCGAAATCTGTCGCGATAAATTTGTGCTGCAAGATTTGAATTCTGACGAGCTTCACCGTAATCTAAGAACATGTCGGCGAACTCTTGATTCGAGAACATTGTAAATAAACACGACGACGTACGCGAACAAAAACAAAACAACAGGCCCGATGCCCAATAACTAACCACTGTTACCGTTTGCGATCGATTGCCGGTTCGATAAGAGTGATGAAAAGCCGACGCGCTGTTGTCATGTGTGTTTTAAATATTTAATTTAATGAAACTTACTGACTACAAATTCTGGCTTAACTTAGAAAAACTTAATGCCATCTATTTGTTAATTACCCAATTTAAAAACGTTTTAGATTAGATTATAAAAATTAGTAAGATTGTGGTGATTGTGGTCGATATAAAGCACTTACAGTTGTAAACTATAAAGCCATTTAGACAAAAATCTATTGACTTTTGGACCATGGGTCATATGAACTTTTTGACTTGTTTTGGCTCCCCTATGACCTATTTCAATAATGACTACCTTAACGTTTACACACTGTATAATAGATAAATGTGAATACAGATGATACTTAGACACTGTATCAAAAATATTATTTTATCGCAATGATAAGGATACAAAGAATCAATAAAAAAATAATGGGTCGTTTGTTTAGAATTCCCTGAAGAAATTTTATTACAGATGCAATTGTTGCTAATATGAATATTACGATACTCAGAAAAACTATTCTAGACATACTAGCTGAAACAATGGAGATTTCGTACATGAGAATTTCAATATGTCAAAAAGACGATTTAAACGTACGAGGGAGGTCTGACAAGTACTCAGCCTACAAACGAAACTTTTGGAAAAATGGCGATTTATTTCTCAACATAGCTCGATACACTATATATGGAAACTGTCTAAAGCTTTTTAGAATTGATTTCACTGAGGAATTGATATTGTAGTTAAAGACATATTTCATGCGGATCTTGTCGCCGATACCTTTGAAAAAAGTATCTTGCAATAGGTCACGTTATCAAGAATTCAAATCTCAAAAATATCCACAAAATATGTTTCCACATTGAAAGTATCTGCAAAAGTCAAGGTTTACAGAATCATCAATTTATTTAGTACGAGAGATTACGAAAAAAAGCTTTTCTAAACAGGGGTACGGTTATTACAAGCTAGAAAAGCTTTATATTAATCGGAAAATTATACGCCGATTTTTTTTTCCACTGAAATGTCTCTAGAGTTTTTTTATCATGTTCATTAAAAAAAGTGTCAGCTGTATTTCGAAAACGAAAAACTCCAAGAATACAGTATTTGAGTACAGTCGATATGACACTGACAAATTATCTGCAAAAACTAGTGGTGTACTGTGTTTTCAATACACATAGAGACTTCGAAGCAAAACATGAATAGATGCATGTTTCTTTTCATATATGAACTGCTAAATCTACCCTCAAATTATCCTGGCGACTTTCTGTAACACCCTTACAAAACAAAATTTATAGTTGTCAAGTGTACTTAAACATCCTTCTGAATTTAAAAAAAAACAATTACACTTACCATTGCCGACTCTCACACTCGCTATAGATTGGTTTGTGGAATTCTGAAAATATTATACAACAGTGATATAATAAATAGGTATAAGAATATGTGCCAAAAAAAGCCAATAAAAAAACGGTGCTAGTGAAAAAAAAGCTGAAACAAAAAAACCTCAGTGCAACTGAACGGATTATTATTTGGAGAAATGTCTATACATGACATGAGGCAGGGCTGTCCAACATACTCCTTTCTTGCGGCCCGCTTCACGAGTCATGTATACATATATGTATACCATATAGTATTAGTATATACCTATTAAAACTCAGTAATAATGTTGTATAGAAAGATTTTTATAATGCGGCCCTCCAAACTGCATTTTTTTTGAAGTGGCCCTTGGGCCACATTAAGTTGGACAGCCATGACATGAGGGATGCGGATGTGAAGATAAAGTGCAAACAAAAATGCGCAGATTCCAAAAATGTTAATTCTGAATTCACAACTGCTTAAAAACTGAAGATTGAATAAAAAACCTGCTGTTGAGTTCCCCATGTAGTTCATATAACAATTATATGGGCTCACACAACGAAGAAGACAAATATATGTTATTAGAAAAAAGTATAAAGGAATTAAAAAACTAATGTTATAAAACTTGAGAGGCATTAAAACGTTACCCCAAAATTCGAAGATCCACCATACCATTCTTTTTTAATTATTTGGCTCGAAAGTTGAAAATTAGTGCTGTCGTACTGAGGTAAAAGGCAGTAAAGTGTAAAAGTCTGAGAAAATTGAGCTCAAAATTCTGGATTTTTTCTAACCTAATAAATAGTATTATTATGAAAGACAAAAAGTGAATGGACAATGCAAAATTTCACTACTTTATAGAGAGTAATTTTAATGTGCTTTCGGATCATAATTGTTGTTGAAGCAGAAAAAAAATGTCATTCCGTCTTTAATTGCGGGAAATCAAAAAGCAGTAACACTGCTTGTATACTCTGTATACTCTGCAAAAACAAAGGAAAGACGCAGCAATGCAGAAGTTTATTTTATATTAATATAATTTATTCCTATTGAAATTCACATAAATAGCTCAAAAGTAAACTTTTTCAAAATCTAAGAATTCAATTTAATGCTTTTATAATTATATTTAATATACAATATAATCAACAAAAAAAACTTAAAACAACATGTTTTCTCTTATACACGGTGGCCCAACGAGGAGAGTCACAAATGGGGGTACGACCTTATCGTTGGACGACCCTGTATGTTAAGTTAAATGAAGAATATTTTTCAAAATTATTCTTTCCGAGTAAAAGTAATTACTTATAACGTTAAATACTTATTCAAAAATAATATATTACATAAAAAAACTGAATAAGTAAACATCATAATGGGTTATAAAGGGTAAAAAGGCAGTACTTGTATCATACAGAGAATAAAAGCAGTATAGATTGAAAAGTACTGCATATAACGTAATTAATATGCAATATTTGACAAAGTGAAAAATAAACTGTTTTTGTTAAATCACATTTTTTGTAATTGTAATCCAAAAAGAGATGAATTGACGTCAAAATTTAAAAATAAACAAGTAAATGAGCTTTACTGCCTTTTATCCAAGTCCTGGAGTATGGTTTTCGTATTTATTTTTTCTATATCATATCACTGATAAACGAAAAATGTTAAAAAAACTGACCATATGAAACACATTAAAGCGTTAATGCACAACTGGAAAGTAATCTTGTAGTAAATTTTCGAAATATTTAGGAATATTTAGTTTCGGTTTCAGCAGAAAATCCGTTGGAAGAACAACCGAAAGCGAATCTACGTTCTTGAGTTTTCGGGTGCCATCTTGTTTATATTTTCTGTGTATTGTTTTTTGTATTACACTAACACATAAATAATGATATAATATATATATATATATATATATATATATATAATCAATTTCTTTTATAATATGTACCCTAAGTGGTACTTTGTTAGGTGGCTTCGTGAGCCAGCCAAATGCAATGCCTTCCATTATCAAGTATCATATTTTTCTGTAATTTGCTTCTTTCCTCGTATCAATATTGGCAGTGTTAAACTTCCGAGGAAAATAATTTTTATATCAACAATTTACGTTTTTCCTTCCATTACTTTTTTATCTGCTGTTTGAATTTAAACATTTTTTTTCACGAAATTGTAAACAACATGTATAATATATACGTCAACTTTTTCACATCGCCTTTTTTTTAAGAGCTGACAAAAAAGCTCTTGCCCTAATTTTAGGACACGCTTTGAAATAACCAAAGGGTGGAAACAAATAAGAACAACATTATTTTGTTTCATGAAGAGAAAAGAATTCATGTTTTGTTAGTTTAACTTTTTTTTAGTTGCATGCATGGGGACATTATTGAAACTAAAGAAACCTGACCTCCCACATCAATTAGGAGAATATACGAAAACCATATTCCGCAATAAGAAGTTTTGGTTTAGGCCGAAACCAAAGCTGAGACCCAAATTTCGATTATATCGGTTATAAAACTCGCTGTTATTTAGCAAGAAGCTGACACATCCACGGTTTCTGTCATATTCAGGGGTTCGGTATATCGATCTCGTTCTTATCATACAGGGTGTTTCAGAACAATAAAACGAGTGGTTAAAAAGTTGTGAGCCAATAAAGAAATACACAAAATCGGTTATGACCTCATTACCCATCAATCATAGGTTCTTTATAATTATTACAGGTTAAAATATCTCGTGCTCCCAATGAAACACCCTGTATATATAGACAAGTTACGTGTGGCTCAAGCAATTGAAAATGTGCCTGTATAGACAGTGATCCTTCTCAAAAATCAGTTGCACACGGTTAGATCATACACACTATTTTTACCGATATGGTCGCTGTTTCAGATGAAAATTGGTTACTATTAAAATCATCGTCGCTTTCATCAATTTTTTGAGTGAAGCGACCTGACTGAGCCATCATGACACTAGTATCTTCATCCGATGAGCCTGAGGGATCCTTTTTTGGCAGCATTAAGAAAAAAATAAACATTATTCAATACGTTCAACATTTTAACTAACATGTACCAATAAAAAAAATAAAAGTCAAATTTTTTTTCGAAATGTTTGGCGATTTTTCAGAATGCTGTATCGTAGTGAAAAATGATCGCGTTGAGGTTTCAAAAAAAACATTTTGAGGCTCCGAGTTTCTAGTTCATGTTCTACGCAACTTTAAGAAACAGCGTGAGAAAAAAATATTACAATTAAGCCATGGTATGTACCGGATAGCTTGTTTATTCAGCTTCAATTTTCTTTTTTTAAAACCTCGGTACAACATTTTTTTTAAAAGTACTCTTTTGTCGTTGATCGACGATATCTCGACGACAAATGGTCGCACAGTTCTGAAAAGTGGAATAAACCAACTCACACATAAATTTATTACTTTTAAGACAATTACTTGGCCACGTGGCTGTGGCAACAAAAATTGCAAGTGAACCTTCAAATTCAGCATAGAGTTGGGCATCTTCACACACTGATAGCTAGTTTGTAATTTATAAAAAGCTGTCCAGGCAGCCAATAGCATATCAATATCAAATAAGGAAAAGGCGATAACAAAACCCACATGTCCAAAGGAGAATCTTTAACTTTTAAATCTGATGATCTGAATTACCATGACAATTTGCCGTCGTAACAAAGCGCTTTTCTTTGGTGATCCTAGTTAGATTTTCGGCGATACGTCTGTTCTGTACAGGCTATTTTTGAACAAAAGTGGCTAAAGGTTACTAGTATTGATTAACGTATTTCACCTTAGGACAACCAAGATAAAATGAGATACCGCAGCATCACTTAAGAGAATTTGTCACAGCTGCTTCTCTATTCACTATACAAGGTATCAAAGATAAGGATCCTATGCATGAATATCTCATTACCTTTGAGAAACCATCAACTTTATTGCTTCATACGGTCCGAAAAAATGCACGCTATATCTAATAGAATTTTTTTATACGAAAAACTTGATAGAGTTATCTGACCATCTACGTTAATGACATAAATAAGTATTTTTCTAGTTTACCTACCATTGTTAAGTCTGAGTTACAAATTAAACTGCTGGAAAAATATAACACCAGCCAGCAAGCCAGACAAATCAGATTCTCCCAAATAACTTGCCACGATGTTATGGGATTTTTCCGGAGTATCGAAAGTAATGCCTTGGGTGTTGACGGAATCAACCTAAATATGCTAACAATCATATCCGATTTGCTAATTGAAAATATAACTTTCATCATCAACTAGGCAATTGTATCATCAAACTTCCCCAACTGATGGAAAAAAACAAATGTTCTCCCCCAAGCTAAAATATGTAACCCTACAGATATTGCACATCTGAGGTCGATAAATATACTACCAGCATTTTCCAAGTTATTAGAACCAGCCATGAAACATCCGGTATCTGACTACGTCTTCTCTAATGGTATCATTCCTGAAATCCAATCGGGGTACCACAGGGTTCCATTCTGCGACCATTATTGTTCTCAATTTACATTTCTGACTTCCACGAGTACGTTGAACACGGCAGTATTCATCACTATGCTGTACTTTGGCTTTGATATTGAAGATTTAAAAAATGCCGAACATTTGATTAATACTGATTTAATGAATCTATCTAACGTATCTTGTGCCCAAAATCTCAAAATTAACCCGTTAAAATCATCCGCAGTTATATTTCGGCCAAAAATCAAAAAAAGCCAGGCAAAGCCATTACTATCATTGAGCATTTTAGATCAACCGATCCCTATAAAAAATGAGTGCAAGAATTTAGGACTCTGGATTGATTCTGATTTGAGGTTTAAAAAACATCATTCGGTGTCTTCAAGCAATTATTTCCTCATTGGAAAAGTATGAATACTGGTCTCAAGCTGAAGTTGTGCGAAACCTTAATATGGTCTAGAATTCACTACTGTGACTGTATTTATGGGCCTGCACTAAGATCGATTGAGATAAGGAGACTTCAGACTATTCAAAATGCGTGTCTCAGATTTGCTTGTGGAGTGATAAAATTTGAGTCAGTGCCACATAAGTATC